CCTCCTCCTCCTCCTCCTCCTCCTCCTCCTCCTCTTCCTCTTCTTTTTTGTGTGTGTGTGTATATATATATGTGTGTGTGTGTGTGTGTGTATGGTTGTTGTGTCTGTGTATTCACTCATTTGTGGGCCACACATGAATGCATGTGGAGGCCTAAGGTTGAAGTAAGATGCCTTCCTCAATTATTGCCTATTTGTTGAGGCTGTATCTCTCACACATACAAGGGTCCTTGGGTCCCTTGTGTCTGCCTCCTGAGTGCTGGGATTGTTGGTATCACCATTTCTCTGGCTTTTACGATTGTTGTGGGAATCTGAACTCTTGACATTTGCAACACAAGCTCTTCATACACGAGTCATCTCTCTGACTCCCATCCCTGTTGTTCTTATTTGTTATCTCTGGCCCCCAAATGTTTCCATTTGGTACTTGGTTAATTAAAATTATTTTTTTAAAAAAATTTATGTGCATTGGTGTTTTTTCTGCATGTATGTCTTTGTGAAAGTGTCCAATCTTTTTTGTTTGTGTGTTTCTTTGTTTTTTGTTTTTCGAGACAGGGTTTCTCTGTAGCTTTGAAGCCTGTTCTGGAACTAGCTCTTGTAGACCAGGCTAGCCTGGAACTCACAGAGATCTGCCTGCCTTTGCCTCCCGAGTGCTGGGATTAAAGGTGTGCGCCACCACCACCTGGCTTGAGAGTGTCCCATCTTGGAGCTGCAGACAGTTGTTAAATGCCATGTGGGTGCTGGGAATTGAACCTAGGTCCTCTGTAAGAGCAATCAGTGCTCTTAACTGTTGAGCCATCTCTTCAGCTCCCAGGAAATTTTAAGTTTTGATTATTCTTTCAGTTATAAAGCACAACATCATGGAGTTTTAAGTGATCTTTGGGGAAACATGGGATGCTTGTAGTATAAGTAATTCATCCTGGATTACTTGTTTTTATATATTTTTATTCAATCCATTTTCGCCAAAAACTGGGTTATCTTTTCAAAAAGCACTCCTTAGTAGCTTGATAATGATAGTAACTTCTTTTTTTTTTTTTTTGATAGTAACTTCTTGTTGAAACTATGGTGCTTTTAATCTGCAAAGTTCAATTTGTCGGTCACATGGTAATGATGGCAATGATGGTGTTGTTTCAAATATATCCCGTCAGCATTGCCACCATCCTTTCTGTGGTGTAAGACATTCCAAGTTTCATCTTAACATTAAGTTTCTTCCTTTTGAGTATTGAAGGTGTGCCCAGAAAGTGTGCCTAGCAGGAAACATGGTGGGCCACTCGGAGAAGCACCCAGGGCAGGCTTTGGTTAGTTAGTGCAATGGTAAACACTAACAGGAAGAGTAGGGGTTAATATTGCAGGGGAACCTTGGAGGCAGGAGTGTTAGAGCCTGGACAGACCGGTGAATGTCCAGAGGGGATTTGATGAGTGGTATTGGCAAATAGTCAGCTGGTTCAGGGAGAAATAAGACAAGTGACAGGACAGTGGCAGTTGGGAGGACATTCAGGCAGACAGGAGAGGTGTTCTAGACTTGCTCAGGACAGCAGAGTTCAGGATGACTTTTAAGATTCCAGTCTGAGGCCGGCAACTGGCTGCTACCCCCTGAAGTCAATTCCTGGGGCCCATGTAGTGGAGGGAGAGATTGACTCTTGCAAATTTTGCTCATGCATATCCATACACTTACATGCATACAAAATGAAGAAAATGTAATAAAAAATATCTAAAACCAGAAAGATTTCAGTGTGTGGCTGTCTTTAGGAGAAGACACCTTTTCCTTGAGACACGTTCTACAGAGGCTTAGATTTGGAATAAAGCTGATGAATTTGGTTTTGCACATACTGTGTTTGAAGTGTTCACCATGTGAGAGCTACTCTGGCGGGGGCTGGTGGGAAAGCACAAGGGCAGCTGTATGCAGTCTTCACACCGTAGTGACACAGCAGTGATGGTGCTGCACTAAAGCTGCCTGCTCAGTGGGTTCAGAATGTAGACCTTTCTTCAGGTCCAAGGTGCTTTTCCACTGCAGGGAGTATCTGGCAAGTCCTTTATTTTCATGCTTTTATAGTGAAACAGAACGAGCATAAGATGTTACTTGCCATAAAATGTTATGGAAAACTTCCAAGTAGATTTTCTTTATTATTATTTTTTCACATGTTTATAGAATTTTTCCCAAAACAATTTTATTTCATAAAGTAAAAGTCAATTATATGCATTTTATAAAATTAGAGACCAAATGGGGGGACAGGGCTTGATGCAATACACAGTTTTTATCTCCAGAGTGGTTTCTATTAGAATTCTCTAGTTGGACTTGGTGGATTATTATTTTTTTACAATTGTTTTTATTGAGCTATATATTTTTCTTCACTCCCCTTTCTTATTCCTAATTCTCCCCTCCCCTTCTACCTCTTCTATGGTCCCCATGCTCCCAACTTATTCAGGAGATCTTGTCTTTTTCTACTTCCCATGAGGATTAGATCCATGTATGTCTTTCTTAGGGTCCTCTTTGTTATCTAGGATTGTGAATTGTAGCTGTTTTTTCTTTGCTTTATGTCTAGAAGCTACTTATGAGTGAGTACATATGATATTTGTCTTTCTGGGTCTGGGTTACCTCACTCAATATGGTGTTATCTAGATCCATTCATTTGCCCACAAATTTTAAGATGTCTTTTTTTTTTTTTGCGATGAATAGTTCTCCATTGTGTAAATGTTCTACATTTTCTTTATCCGTTCTTCAGTTAAGGGGCATTTAGGTTGCTTCTAGGTTCTGACTATTACAAATAATGCTGCCATGAACATAGTTGAGCACATGTCCTTGAGGTACGATTGAGCATCCTTTGGATATATACCCAAAAGTGATATTGCTGGGTCTTGAGGAAGGTTGTTTCCTAATTTTCTGAGAAATCGCCACACTGACATCCAAAGGGGTTGTACCAGCTTGCATTCCCACCAGCAATGCAGGAGTGTTTCCTTTACCCCACATCCTCCCCAGCATAAGTTGTCATCAGTGTTTTTGATCTTGGCCATTCTTACAGGTGTAAGATTGAATCTCAGAGTTGTTTTGATTTGCATTTCTCTGATGGCTAAGGATGTTTAGCATTTCTTTAAGTGTCTTTCAGCCATTTTAGATTCCTCTGTTGAGAGTTCTGTGTTTATGTTTGTACCCCATAGACAAAGAACTTAAGAAATTGGTCGTCAAAAGAACAAATAATCTTAATAATATTTAAATATTTGCTTTATTTTTATTTATGTGTATGGGTGTTTTGCCTGCATGTATGTGTCTACACCAGAAGAGGGCATTAGGTCTCCTGGATTGTGAGCTGCCATGTGGGTCCTGGAAGTCTCCTTCTGGTCCTCTGTAAGAGCAGCAAGTTCTTTTTATGGCTGAACCATGTCTCCAGTCCTTTCTTCTTTTATTTTCAACATTGAAAATGCCCAAATTTAAATCAGCATCACTCAGTATTTCTTATTTCTCTTACACCTCTTTCATTTGAAAATTGCAGACAGCTACAAGTAGTGTTCTCTCTGGATGTCATGTGGAAGACTTAGATGAAGGTAAGTGCTAAATTTGTCATGGCTTCTGGTAACTCTTACTGTGGCCCTTGCCTTTTAATTGAAGAAGAATTTATGGGAGGAAAATTTCTGAGGATAGTCTTTATAGTTGGAGATGAAGGAAAGGATGTAAATATTTAAAAGTAGGTAGGGACGAAAACATTTCTCTCTGGAACCTTTTCATAGGTTGCAGCTGAGGCTGGCCTTGATCTTCTGATGCTCCTGCCTTGACTTCTGAGCGTTTTCCTGCAGCTGTGCATTGTTATGCCTCCTCGCGCAGCTTGCCCTGCAATGCCTGTTCCAGGCCAAGTGGCTTTCATAAAATACACACTGACTTCTCAGGGTTCATCTTCATCTCTGTAGTCAGTGTGAAAATGAATATTTATTGAGGTTTAGTAGTTTCCTCAAGTCACCCAGCTAGTAATAAATGAAGCACAACTTTTAAGCCTGGCAGAATAGTCTTCTTGTCCCCTAAGGGGAGGTTGGGGGACAGAACTTGTAAGACTAGAAAATGGCTGCTTAGCCTCTCTCCTAAGCCTATTTTCCTTGGCTTATTTGGAACTTTATCTAAATCAATCAAAGTCATTTGTATTCAGAAATGTGTGCACTTAGCTTCTATATTTGCTTAACTGAGCTTCATTTCTGTTATACAATGTTCTGCAGTGATATGCTCCAACCAGGTCTAAGGGCTTCTCCCTCAGTGTGCAGTGGTAGGGTTTGTCCACAAGAATTTCCTGGACAGTCAGTTTTCATTCCTGAAGGAGTTTTTAATAGAAATGCAGTAGCTCTCTCCCCTGGGTTCTCAGAGAAGAGGTTACCCTGGGAGGAAGGCCACCCCCATCAGATGAGAGCCAGTGCCACCAACTTGATTTAGCTGCTGTGTAGTGGCCTTTACAACATGCTATTTCACAGAGCCAATTGACTAGGTTAGTTGATTGGTAGGGGCACCTTTGTCATGTCTGTTTTATATCATGTGGGATGATACATGTGGAGGGATGTGATTCTTGGACATTAAGATATTGGAATGACGAGGTAGTCTCACATGACACGATTATGTCCTGATTACTCCCTAGGGTCTTGTAACGGTTGGCATTTTCGGCCGCCACCCAGGGGAATCACAAGCAGCGAGGAATATACTTTGTGTAAAAGGTAATGTAAAAAATATTTTAGAAACAAATTACATGTCTCTTTTGAAAAGAGAGATAATTTTCCTTCACTTTTTGAAGGTAGTAATTTAAATTCAAAGAGGATAATATGTGAAGAAAGAAAAAGTATAGTGATTAAGGGAAATGGTTTGTTTCCTGTTTGAAACAGAGGCTCCACAGGTCAACACCAAATCCATGAGATTTTAATATTAAACCACAATTGTGTGAATACCGCTTGTTTAGACTTTGTTCAGAAAGCTTTCATGCTGGCTGAACTTAATTGCAGGCTGTTGTTAGTGTGGAATTTACTCAGATGTGGTAAGTGGAGTTGAAATTAGTTCCTATAAACTGGAAGAGAGCACAGTATCAGTCATACTCAATTATTTTCATAATTTTCTGAAAAAAGAGTCATGTAATTCTTATATGGAATTTATGGGTACTTTGTATATGAACAACTTTCAGAATTAATGATGTAACTCATTATTAATAGTTATTCCTAAAGATGTAGAAAGTAAATTAAAGTCCCATTTTAAAGGCGAGCTCTTCAGTTCCTTTCATAGGAATGTGTGGCTGGTAGGGCTTTGCATAGACCTTGCTGCCCTAGACTGACTGGCATATTGAGAGGAGTCTGATTTGTGCTGTAATGAGACACAGTCAAGATGAGGGCTCAATTGTGTTGTGGAAATAAAAGGGCTGAACTAGTAAACACTGCAAGTCCTTGTGGTACCAAGTTAGTGGGGAGACAACATGAGGTTTTGAAAAAGAACCCTGAGAATTAGAGTCTAGATGAGAATAGAATTCCATTTTTTGTAGTTTTTCTTTTTCTTTTTTTTTTTTTAGGAAATCTTTTTTTTTTAGTTTTAATTTATTTTTATTTCATTTTACATTCCATCCAGTTTCCACCCTACCCCTGGGGAGTTTTTTTAAATTTATTGTTATGTGTATGAGTCTTGTCTGCATATATGTCTATGTACTATGTATGTGCCTGTTTCCTACAGAGGCCTGAAGACAGTGTTGGATTCTCCCCTTGGACAGGAGTTACAGACAGTTGTGAGCTGCCATGTTGGGGCTGGGAATTGAGACTGGGTCTTCTGGAAGAGCAGCCAGCACTCTTAACTAAGTAGTGAAATAGCTTAGGAGCACACAGAAAGACAGATTTTGCAGCATGAAAACACACTGTATGTGTACAAGGCAAGCACAAGTTCTGCACTTATTTTCTGCAGCACATGAGGATTTAATCATCATCATCATCAGCAGCAGCAGCATTCTAGGTTCATTCAGCCTCACTTCAGATGGTTTGGAGGCACCAGTGAGATGAGCCATGCAGGGCTCCATTCATTTCTGTCTCTAGAGTGTGTTTTCCAGCTTAAAATTGTCCATGCATAGCCTCTGTCTTGTGTTTGTTTTGTTAAATGTACTTTTTTTCCTCAGAGGATTTTTTTCATCAATTTTTTTTTAGTGTTATTTATTTATTATGTATACAACGTTCTGCCTCGAAGTATGCCGGCACGCCAGAGGAGGGCGCCAGATGTCAGTACAGATGGTTGTGAGCCACCATGTGATTGCTGGGAATTGAACTCAGGACCTCTGGAAGAGCAGCCAGTGCTCTTAACCTCTGAGCCATCTCTCCAGCCCTTCATCAATTTTTGAATGTTTTTACTGATATAAGATCAGACTTTACATAGTTTTGCAGGGCATTTTAAAGTATTTTTTTAAAAATATTTATTTATTATGTATACAATATTCATCTGTGTGTATGCCTGCAGGCCAGAAGAGGGCACCAGACCCCATTACAGATGGTTGTGAGCCACCATGGGGTTGCTGGGAATTGAACTCAGGACCTTTGAAAGAGCAGGCAATGCTCTTAACCTCTGAGCCATCTCTCCAGCCCATTTTAAAGTATTTTTAAAAAATTAATGCCAGGTGCTGGTGGCGCATGCCTTTAATCCCAGCACTCGGGAGGCAGAGGCAGTCGATCTCTGTGAGTTCGAGGCCAGCCTGGTCTACAAGAGCTTAGTGCCAGGACAGGCTCCAAAGCTACAGAGAAACCCTGTCCCGAAAAAAAAAAACAAAGTAATGATCAGTGGTCTGGAGAGATGGCTCAGAGATTAAGAGCACTAGCTGCTCTTCTAGAGGTCCTGAGTTCAATTCCCAGCAACCATATGGTGGCTCACACCCATCTGAAATGAGATCTGGGGCCCTCTCTTCTGGTGTGCAGGCATACACGCAGGCTGAACACTGCATACATAATAAATAAATAAATAAATAAATAAATAAATAAATAAATAAATAAATAAAATCTTTTTAAAAAAATTAATGAGCCGGGCAGTGGTGGTGCATGCCTTCAATCTTGGGAGGCAGAGACAGGTGGATTTCTGTTCAAGGCCAACCTGGTCTACAGATTGAGTTCCAGGACAGGTACCAACGACATGCAAAGAAACACTGCCTCAAAAAAACCAAAAATAAATAAATAAACAAACAAATAAATAAATAAAAATGATTGCCGTGTTCTTGAGCATGAAGTCAGGGCATATTGGTGACTGTTGTGAATATTCATCTGCCACCCTCTTCTCCCTTCATTGGACTTAACATTGATAAATTTGGCCTCTCAAAGATCTTTCTCTTGGTACTGAGGAGGCAGAGGGCAAATGGTACAAGTTATCCTTAAATGGTTGAACAATCTGGGCAGTGTTGGCTTATACTTTTTATCCCAACACTTGGGAGGCAGAGGCAGGTGGATGTCTAAGTTCGAAGGCAGCCTGAGATCAGAAAAAAGTGAGTTTCAGTGCAGCTAGGGCTATGCATTTAAACCCTCTCTTGAAAGATCCCCCCCCCCCCAAAAAAAAGGTTGAATGTATATAAAACAGTCTTTCTCATTCCTCTTAGGTTTTTAGAGCAAGGAATTTGTAGGTATGGTGCACAGTGTACTTCAGCACATTCCCAGGAAGAATTAGCAGAGTGGCAGAAAAGATACGCCTCACGGTTAATAAAACTGAAGCAGCAAAATGAGAATAAACAGCTCTCAGGCAGCTACATGGAAACCTTGATTGAAAAGTGGATGAGCTCATTGTCTCCTGAGAAAGTGGTAAGAACTAACCACCCCTGTTGCTCTTCCTCTGAGCAGTGTTCTGGTTTAATCTTTGCTTTCTCATGTGCTCAATTGTAGCTTATTTCTTCAGTCTACTAAGAACATGGATGTTTGTTTTATTTATTTTTTTTGAGACAGGGTTTCTCTGTGTAGCCTTGGCTGTCCTGGAACTTGCTTTGTAGACCAGGCTGGCCTTGAACTCACAGAGATCTACCCGCCTCTGTCTCCCAGTGTTGAGATTAAAGGTATATGCCTCACCACCACCTGGCTGAGAACATGTTCTTAATAAAGTGGTGTTTTTAGTAACATAAGATGGCTTGTTTGTTAAGATGAACATTTGTCTGGAGGTATGCAGCTCCTACAGCAATGACCTTCATTAGGAAGGTTTTGATTCTCAGGTTTTGGTTGTTAATTTCCTTCTGTCTGCATTGCATGTCACTCTTGTAAGGATGGCTGGAAAGCAGTGTGTGAAATCCCTTGGTCATCAGTCAGCAAGCGCTGTGTCTGTGCTCATGGCTGATACTTGTGTTTCTGCCCTCAGACTATAATGAAATCACTCTTTGCTTCCAGCTCAGTGAGTGCATAGAGGGAGTTGAGGTGGAGCATAGCCCTGACCTGTCGGTCACCGTCAACACCAAAAAATCCCACCAGACATGGACCTTTGCTCTGACCTGTAAGGTATGAACCCCATGCTAATTAGAGATGATATCAGGCTTGTTCTGTCTCTCGAAGCTTATTGAATTTTAAATGTCTATTAAGAGAGTATTAAAAATGTTTTACTTGGAGTACATTTTATTGTGCCAAAGTGAGTTTCTGTATTTCAGTCATTAAATGTCCTTTTTTCTACTTTGAAATAAGATTCATTTATCTGTGTAGGACACCTTATTATTTACTTGGTAAAGAAGTTTGACATACATTACCTTCTTAACTTGGAACATAGGATGGGGTTCATGGCTTAAAATTAAATATTTGATAATTGAATTATTTAATCTGGCAGTTCTAAGATTTTTTTCAATGAAAACCTATTTTTGTATTTTATTTGATGAAGTCACAAGTTCTGTAATAATGTGTATTTTTATTTTATTTTTGTGTTTTCTGGGCCTTGCCCATGCTAGGCATGTGTTCTACCACTGAGCTATATTCCCAGTCCTAGAGAGGGGTTTTCAATATGAGACATTTCTGCATTGCTTCTCATCTTAAATTATGATGGTCACAGTTTAAGACTGGAGTAGAGTTAACCATTTCAGTGAATATATTTGGTGGAGAAGTTTTATGTTCTTTTTAGTGGTATTTCTTCTTGGCACCATCTGCATCTTGAGATGGAATGTTTAGCTTCAGCCCTGAACCCAATCCAGTGCTCTCAGAGGTAACCGTCCTCCTTCGAAGGCTTCCTATGTGAGGCTCTGTAAGCACAGTTAAGAGGTTCACCCAAGATGGCAAATTTTGCCACTGGGAAAGATGAACGTATACAGAAGGTCCAGGGAGGCTGATGACGTAGCATACGTCTATCATTTTAGAAACTTTGCTTTAACCATTCTGTTTTGTCTTTGTTTTTCTTTTTCTGCTTAAATAGCTTGTGAGCACAGTTTGTTGGACAACATAGTACCTTAGAAACATGGGGAATAGCAGATCCTTCCGGGAATATTTCATTGAAGAGCCCAGTTACAACTGAATTTTTACCCCCTTGTACTCAATGAATTATTTTAACTTCCTTGTAGCCTGCAAGAATGCTGTATCGGGTAGCATTGCTTTATGATGCTCATCGTCCTCATTTTAGTATCATTGCCATATCTGCCGGAGATAGTACTACCCAGGTATCACAAGAAGTCCCCGAAAACTGTCAAGAATGGATAGGAGGAAAGATGGCCCAAAATGGATTAGATCATTACGTGTATAAAGTCGGGATAGCATTTAACACAGAAATATTTGGAACTTTTCGCCAAACCATAGTTTTCGACTTTGGATTGGAGCCAGTACTCATGCAAAGAGTAATGATTGATGCAGCTTCTACAGAAGGTAATATTTAGACTTTTTTCCCCCATACAATGTATTAAAAGGCAAGATTAAAAGATTTGTATTGACCCCTAAATATTCCACAAATAGGGAAGGAATAAAAAGTAAAAATTCCCATGTTAATTGACTTACTCACTGTGTAATGACCATAAAATGGGTCAGGTTGTGCTTTGGATCTCTTCATGCAGTTATCAGGCAAATCTTACTTTGAAGTCCCCTAAAATTGCCTCACTCGAGTAGGTTATTAGGTATATTTTGGTCTAGCAATTTCATGTTTAAAGTAAGATGGTTTTTAGCACAGTCAGACCTTTTAGTATTTGTTTGACTAGAATGTTTTTCTAAGGGTAATGACGTATATACCTACAGTGTATTTCCATTTCCTGACTGTTCAGTTAGCTTTGCTGATGCTACTAAATTATCTCTGAAGGAAAGCCCTCAATATCAGTATTAAGTCAGTGTTGCTTTCACTATTTTTAAGGAGGGCAGGGTATCTCAGCAGGATCTGTTCGGTGCCTTGGGAAGGGTCCCTGGTTTCAGCACAGGAGCACCTGCATACTTGCTGCTGTGGCTGATTTGCTTTGTATATTGCTGGTGGTGCCTGTACCTAAATTTGATGCCTAACAGGACAGGGAAAGGGCATGCTAGCCCACTCTTCTGTGGCTCTTGGTTGGATTATAGGTGCTTTAATTTATTAAACAAATGATAAAGGATTTCATTAATGACACTGTGTAGTATGTGTATGACTTGGTACTGTGCTGACTGGAAGTAATTATAATGTGGAGGATGCTCACCCCAAGTACCAGTGTCCCACTCATTATAACCTGGAACAGTTTTTTTTTTTTTTTCATGAGCAGATGCTAGGATACTATGATTTGGACGTGGTAACCAGGTAGTAGAACTGTTCTTTTTCTTTTTTCCCTTATAAGTTGAGGTCAATGAATCCATCCATCCATCCATCCATCCATCCATCCATCCATCCATCCATTTTTCTGGGACTGTGACTCACGAAGTAGCCCAGGCTAACCTTGAATTCACAAGTCTGCTGCCTCAGCCTTCCCAGTGTTGAAATTACAAGTGTGTGTGGCCATGCCTGGCCTTCATTGTAACATTTGTGCCAAGCTTTTGTCGCTAGGCGATGTCTTCTTTGTGTTTGCTATTACAGCCCAGGCTTCATTTTATCTCATTTTCTGCCTTGTTTGATCTCATTTACATTTTATTTGGTTGTATGTAATTTTGTCATTTTCTCAGTAGGAACAAAAATAGGTTAATTTCCATTGCCAAAGATAGATATGCCAGTAGATAAAATACAAATAAAAGCAGAGGGTATAATAAATCTTATGAAGGACTGCATGGTAAAAATAAAAATTATAGGTGTTGTGAGGACTTGGTCATGGGCAGAATTCTAGGAATGGACCTGACTGCATTCACAGAACTTCAGAACTGCACTGTTTCAAGTTAGGGGAGGTTGAAATTGAAGAAAGAGAAGAAAACGGACTCCTCCTTGGCATCTAGGTGCATGTTGTTTTTAGAGTAGTGCTTCAATAGCCATGGCTTGTTTTCCCAGAATTGTTAAGAATCCACACTAGTGGGTGTTAAATGTCTACAATAAAAAGTTAAGGGAAGCCGGGTGGTGGTACATGTCTTTAATCCCAGGCAAAGGTAGGTGGATCTCTGAGTTTAAGGCCAGTCTGGTCTACAGTGTGAGTTCCCTTGTGCCTGTGTCTATACTGTGTAGAGGTCTTAATATCTCCGAGCTTGATGAGGAAACTTTTAAGAGAATGGAGCTGGTGTACCTTCCTTAGATGAGTGTGAGGACTAGACATAAGTGTGGCATGTTTAGCTCATAGTAGGCATGTAAAGGAATTATTTTCAGGCTAGTGAGATGGATGGCTCAGTGGATGAAGGCACTTGTCACCAAGCAGGCTCTTTATTGATTGCTCAGGCTGCTTTCTTATAGAAAGAGGTAGCACTACCAGTCCCGGGGTAGCACCACCCACAGTGAGCTGGGCCCTCCCACACCAGTATCCAATTAGGAAAATGCACTACAGACTTACCTACAGGTCACTCGATGGAGGCAGTTTCTCATTGATAATCCTCCTTCCCAAATGACTCTGGCTTGCATCATGTTGGCATAAACTAGCCAGTACACTGGTAACAAGTTTATCCCTAAATAATACTGGACAATAGTCTTCTTCCATGAGTTATACACTTGACTCTACTGGGCCATCTCCACTGACATCCCCAGCAGCCCCTATGGTTAAGAATGCTGCCCACTCTCTCCTGCAGTTCTAGTGCCTCACCCACTAAAGGCTGTTTGTGCCCTTCACACTGACTGCCTTCGTGTGACTCAGGGAGATTCAGTTGTATGACAAATAGTATTTTCCTAGCTCATTCTTAATTATTGGATTAAAAAATCCTTTCTTTCTTAATTAATTTAGCTTTTGAGTTGAATTAAAAACACAACTACATAGGTTTCTCTAAAAAATTATTTGTTTATATTTTATGTGTGAGTGCTCTGCATGTCTGCCTGCATGCCAGAAGAGGGCATCAGATACTATCACAGATGGTTGTGATTCACCACGTGAGTGCTGGGAATTGAACTCAGGACCTCTGGAAGAACAGTCAGTTCTCTTAACCCTTGAGCCATCTCTCCAGCTTGATTTATTTTCTTTTTTTCCACATTATTATTATCTGCAGTGTCCATTTATGGGTCATGAGGGAATGTCTTTCTTCTTGTAGTTAGTTATATGGTAACCTCCTAACTGTTGAGGAAGACTTACTTCAACTGTGTTTTTCTTTTCTTTCCTTTTCTTTTGCTTTCTTGATTATTGAGGCTTAGAAAATAAGCTATTTACTAAAATTGTCTTTGGGTAAGCTTGAAGTTATAACTCAAAATGTGTGATAAAAGGCACTTGCAAGGGAAGGAAGTTAGCAAGCTTTCCTTGCATGTTATATACGTGGCTTCCACTGATGGGAGAGTTTGGAGATGCTGATTTGGAATTGTGGTTTGGATGTCTGGAAGCAGCATATCTATGATTTATTTAGTCTTAGGTTTGAATCTGGAAGCATGCTATTCATTTCTCTGCCGTGAGTCTAGCAAGACATGATGACATCACCACAAAGTTTAGTCTACCTTAAAAATGATTTCCCATTGTCAAAGTTGATGGCAAACTAAGGACACTTATCTTCAATCCATGAATATTGTGTGATCAGCAAAGCATTAGAAAAAGAGGGTTTTAAAGTTTGTCTTCAAAGGTCAATGTAGTGAATGACAGCACATGGAGAAGCTGCCCTCTGCTTTCACTGCTTCAGTCTGGTTATGTGAGGAATCCCTCTACCTCAATGAGACAGGGATTTTCAGTCTACCCCTGGCTGTCCTGGATCTCAGTCTGTAGCCAGGTTGGCCTCGAACTCAGAGATCACCTGCCTCTGCCTCCTGAGTGCTGGGATTTTAAAGGTGTGTGCACTGCTGCCTGGCATTGGTTATGTGGGGCTTCCCCCCACCCCCAGACAGGGTTTCTCTGTGAATCTCTGGTTGTCCTGGAACTCACTCAGTAGATCAGACTGGCCTTGAACTCACAGAGATTTGCTTGCCTCTGTCTCCCTGAGTGCTGGGACCAAAGGCGTGCACCACCACTGCCTGGCAAGTTTGTGTGTGTGTGTGTGTGTGTGCGCGCGCGCGCACGCGCATGTGTGTGTGTGTATTTCAGCTTTTATTAGGTTCTTAAAGCGAGAGAAAATAGAGGCCAATGGTTGGCACAGCCAGAAAGGCTTCACGTTGCCTCTGGGTAGCGGTGTGGGAGAGGAGTGTAGCCTGAGGGAAGCGGGAGTGCTAGTTGGAGTTGTGTGTGCTTGGGTTTATTTAATGTGAACAGCCAAAACCTTGATCTTCTAAGGAAAAGTGTGGTGTCTAACTTTGAAATTAGGAAACATTTTATCTTGCTTTTAGATAAATAGAACTGCTTTTAAGAAATGACATTTATTGAATCCTGTGGGCCACCTCTGCTTTGTTTTCCTCTCACCATCTTCTCGTATAGTCTCCAGGCCCCATTAAAGACACTGTTTAAATTGGTTGCATTTCATATTTCAAAGCAAAGCTTTCCTTTGGATACTGTATTATATGGGAAGTAGCTTTGTGGCTGGAATGCGAGCAGGCTCTTAATCTTAAACACCAGAGAGCCTAAGGATAGTGGAAAGTATTTCTTGTGTCAGACTAGCTATTCTAGTTGAGTTGGCTATTTTGTAAAAGGATTTATTTATTTTATTCTTTTACAATTACATGTAGGTGTGCATGTCTGCGTATGGGTATGCACGGATGAGTGGAGGTGCCCTCAGAGGACAGAGCCATTGATTGCATGGAGCTGGGGTTATAGACAGTGAGCTGCCTAATGTGGGTGCTGGGAACTGAAATCAGGTCCTCTGGAAGAGCAGCAGTGCTCTTAACTTCTGAGCCGTCTCTGTAGCCCAGAGTTGGCTAGTTTGGGGAGTGGCAGCCCTTCTGTGGTGTTAATTATATCCTGTTAGATTTTTGCAATGCTGAGGATCCATTTCAGTATCGCACGCATGTTAAGCAAGTGCCCTTTAGATATAGTCCAGTTTGATTTTCCATGGATTTCTCTTAAATTTATTTACAGTTTCTGTCTACTTGCCACACCTCAGGGTAGTGCCTTCTATATTGGTGTCAGGTTTGCTTGGAGATTTTTATTACAAGAGTTGGTTAATGAATAGTCTTAATAAGCACTGTTAAACTCTCCTGTTGATTTGTGACTATTGTCCAAGTTTGTTCATTTTTGTCTTTCCGGTGTGTGATTCATTTTAGGCTGGTACAGGTTGAGGGGACACATATACTGTGGCTGAAGAGCTGCGCAGCAGTCCTGAGCATTACTCAGTCTGGTTTTGATGATCGCAGATGCAGGAGCTACAGGGGATGACAGTGACCACACTTGTTAGGTGCTAGTGTGTCCAGCGTCTCATAGGGCACCTTACCTTCTCCATAAATGGAGTCTCTAGAAGTAATGACCTTTAAGCACTGTAAATTAGTGAGTCATTACACAGCTAACAGTTTCTTTTTCAGATAAGAGGAATGAGCAAGGTGTGGTGGCTCACACCTGTAATCCTAGCAATCGAGAGACTGAAGCAGGGGAATGACTGCGGTTTCCAGCTATAGAGTATTGTAGAGGAAGACTTTCTCTGCGCAACATAAAATCACCCCCCACCCCCAAGAGGGAAACAAATAAACAAAAAACACAAGGAAAGAATGAAGAACAGAGAGGCAGAAGTCTGACTCGGGCTCCCAAGAGAAGTAGTTCTGTAAAGCTTCCCAGGAGCCACCAGCCAGTCACAAGCATGACCTTTTGAGGCTGGCACACCAGGATGTTTTCAGGTGCCGCCTCCTCTCTGCTGCTGCAGCTTTCCCTCCTACATAGTCATTAACAAGACACTGGGTATGGTGGCTCATTATCTAATCCTAGTGCTTGGGGAGCAGCCGCGAGTTCTAGGTTAGCCTGGCCTACTAAGTGAGATCCTGTCCCACAGCTCCAAGTGAAATGGGATAAAAATTAACATTGTTTGAAAATTTTGTGATGCTACTTGCTCAAGACACTAAGAAATTCCTAAAACCAAAGTGTAAATGATGGTACTATCTATATAAAATGTCAAAAAAATACTGTCGCTTATGCCGATTCCCAAAGTTTAAATACTTCTAGGCAGAAGTAGAGAAGTTGATTTCTGTAGATTTTAACATGTTTTCCATAGCATTCTCAGGATACCATTTTTGGTCTGTTTTTCCCAAGCACTTTAAGGAACATCGAAACAGCAGTGACCTTTAAATGACACAAGAATGTATGGTTTAAAGTATAGTCTAAAGCACTTAAATAAAATCTGTAATGTAATTATGAAATGTAAATTTCCCACCTTACAATAGCAGTTAGACATCCTTCTATATTCTCATTCTCTCTCGCTCTCTTTGATTTTTCAAGACAGAGTTTCTCTGTGTTTCTGGCTGTCCTGGAACTCACTCTGTAGATCAGTCTGGCCTCAAACTCACAGAGATTTGCCTGCCTTTCTATCTGCTCAATGCTGAGATAAAAAACATGGGCTACCAATGATCCAGTGCAGAGTAATTTTTATTTAAAATGACTTATATATGTGTGTGTATGTATGTATTTGTGTGTGTTAGTATGTCATGTGTGTTTGTACCCATCGGTGTCAGAAGAGGGTGTTAGCTGTCATGGAGCTGGTTGTGAGCCATCTGTCATGTGTGCTGGAATTCAGACTCTTGTCCTGGAAAGAGTGTTTTTAATTGCTGAGCCATCTCTCCAGCCCTAGAGTAGTTTGAAGTGTAATTTTAATGGATAGTTCATCTTTACTGCTGTTATGTTGCTGTCTGAGAATAACAATACTCTTACAAAAATGCTTTCACAAGAATCAAAAGTTAGAACTTAGGGCTTTTTTTTTTTTTTTTTTTTTTTGAGACAGGGTTTCTCTGTGGCTTTGGAGCCTGTCCTGCATCTAACTCTGTAGACCAGGCTGGTCTCGAACTCACAGAGATCTGCCTGCCTCTGCCTCCCGAGTGCTCGGATTAAAGGCGTGCGTCACCACTGCCCGGCAGAACTTAGGGCCTTTATATATTTTTATTAAGAACTAGGATGCAAAAAAAAAAAAAACCCAAACAAAAAGATACTAAGATCCTTGCCACTGTTGTGAAATTTCTTTGTTAATGGCTGCATGTGTATTTATAATGCGTATGTGATATTTAGAGATTGCAGCACCAGAGCCTGGGGTGTAGTTCAGTGGTAGAATAACGTTGGATTTTGGACTTGATCTCTAACACCACAAAATAATAAATAAACAAACTTGCCAAATTACTAACTGAATGGGAGGTTGTAGTCACGCCTGTTCTGATTCAGAGACAGCTTGAGGTGACTTCCCCTGAACTCTGAACCTTTGCCTTATGAGTTAGCTAGACAACTTTCTAACTTTTGGCTGTTTTGCTTTCCTGGGCAGGCATGCTCCACCCAGTAAGTCTCAGGTAGTGACTCTCATGTTTGCTGTTTATGGTACGACTCTATCAAAGATGCCAGAATCTGACAGTTCTGGTTTTGACACTGTGTCCTGTTTATAGTATAATTTGCTGAGTTTTACATGGCCTTTTGGGAAGTGGCATTCAAACGACTTCCTATCACATGTTCCAAGGAGTTGGCAGTGTTGTACACCTGTATCTTCTAACAGATTGGTGCTGGTAGCAAGGTGACCTTCAAACAGCTTTTCTGCGCTTTGCCACACAAAGATGGACACTTTCAGGACTTTGGATCTTCTCTTTGTCTCATGGGGCAGGTACTAGCAGGATGAGGAGGAAAGTGACTGTTGTCTGCCACTCGGTACATTTCATCATACAAGGAATTGGTCAGGTTTCTCCTGCAGGTCAGGGTCTCTTGGCTGAAGAGTTAAGTTCTGAATGTTTAACTGAAAAGTAACTATTTGTGGCACGAGATAGCCAGTGTATAAAAAGATGTTCTCACGTGGATTCCTAACAATGTTATTTTGTTAAAATGATCAAAGATTCCAGGCATGGGAAAAAGTACTCTCTCAATGAGTTTTGTGTTATTCTATTTTAAGGATTTTAGCTCTAGTATATGAAACTCTGTTACAAAAATAAGTACTTATTCACTTGAGAATTTAACCCTGTGTTCCTTTATAAACGTGCTCCTTGTTTCCTTTAGATCTTGAGTACCTGATGCATGCAAAGCAGCAACTGGTGACCACAGCCAAGCGCTGGGATGCTTCCTCTAAGACTATCGTAGATTTCGAACCTAATGAAACTACTGATTTGGAGAAGAGCCTTCTGATCAGATACCAAATTCCTCTTTCTGCTGACCAGCTGTTTACACAGTCCGTTTTAGACAAATCATTGACCAAGGCAAACTATCAGTCACGGTTGCACGACCTGCTTTATATTGAGGAGATAGCCCAGTATAAAGAAGTCAGCAAGTAAGTTCTTTGAGAACCTCCCTCCTCCCCTCTACTCCTCTCTTCCCTCCCCTGCTCTCTTTCCTCTTTTCCTTCCTCCTCTCCTCCCCTCTTCCCTCCCCTCCTGTCCTCTTTCCCCTCCTCTCCTCCCTACTTCACCCCCTCCTCCCCTCCTCCTCCTTTTATTCCTCCAGTCCTCTCCCCTCCTCCCCTCCTCTCCTTCTCTATTCTCCTTGGTCTACCTTTAGAGTGGTGTTTTAAATTTTACAGTTTAGATGCGCTTAAGTAAAGATGGGCATTAAAATAATTATTCTCCATTAGCTATTTTTATTTAACCAATCAGCTAGCTTCGAAACAGGGTCTTGTTATGAAGTCCTGACTGACTTAGAACTCAATATGTAGGCCAGGATGGACTTGAATTCTCAGTAGTCCTGCTTCTGCCTCTTGCATGTTAGATTGCAGGTATGAGCCAGCACCCTTGGCGCTCTGTATTCTATCTTTATTGGAAGTGCTAGTAAGAATTGTGTTTAGGAAGCCGTCGGTAGTGGCTCATTCCTTTAATCCCAGCATTTGGAAGGCAGAGGCAGGTGGATCTCAGTAAGTTTGAGGCCAGCCTGGTCTACAAAGCGAGTTCCAGGAAATAGCCAGGGTTACAGAGAAACCCGGGCTGAAAACAAACAAACAAAAAACCAGAAAGAAAGAATTATATTTAGTACCCGGCTCTTTTTCACAGTACCTCACTGAATGTCTTCTGGGATCAGCTGTGCTCACTTTTGCCGTATAAAACCAGTCCTCACTCTTGAGACACTTTGCAGTGTGTGTAGGCTATTGCAAGCACTTAGAGAATATTTGTTGAATCAATGTACAAAGACAAAAGTAAGCCACACATTTTGAAAGTTATAAGTTTATAAGTGCTCTGTCATCTTTTATATTTTGGCCACAGCCACACATGAAGAGCTGAAAACAAAAGATTATTTGATTAATGTAAGAGAAGTAGTCTTAAATGAAAGTGTGAGTGAGTAAAACTATTGCAAAGGTCATTATTTTGAAAATAATTTTTACTGTTTAGGTAAAATAGGATGAATCTTCAAAATTGAACCTCAATGAGACATGATTACATTTTTGTAACTATTTTTCCTTTTAAATATAGTCTAACCAATATACTTTTTTGTAAGCTGTCTTATCATTAATAATAGATTCAGAATGCTCATTAGGACTATACACAAAAAACAAAGAGCAAACAAAAATGTAAAGTACATTGTGCCACTCTGTTTGTTGGTTAAATATGATAGGACCTTTCAAAGTATCTCACATGAGATGTGCCAGGTCAGTATACTTTGTTTTCATTATTCTGGGACTCTGCCATTGCTCTTTTGGTTGTGTTCTTATCTCCCTGCTCTGTCGGGAGCAGAGTTTTGCTGTGTAGCATAGGCTGGTCTAGAACTTGTCACTCTTACCCATTTCCTCTTGAGTGCTCATATTACAGATATGTGCTGGGCCATTTATTGGTAACTGTCAAGTGCCCAGGTGTACATGTCATGTTAGAGGACAGTCTTCAGGATTGGGATCCCTCCTTCCACCTTGGTTTTGAGACAGGGTTTCTCTTGTTTTGCTTCCTCATTGTATACTCAAGCTTCTGGCTGATTCTCTTATCTCTTGCACTTACTGAGGTCACAAGTGTGGGCTACTGTCACGGCCACCCTCAACCCGCAAGGATGACGTGACCACCAGAGCTCTTCTCACTGCAGTTTATTCCAGGACTTTATCATTCTCTCTCTCTCGGACAAACCTCTCTCTTTCTCTGTCTCCTTCTCTTTCCTCTCTTTCCTCTCTCTCCTCTCTCTTCTCTCTCTTTGACCTCTCTCTCTCCTCTCTCTCCTGGGGCAAACCGCTCCCAGCCCTTAAGTAGGCATGGGCTGCCAATACTGGATTGCCAGGTGGGCACCGCCCATAGGCCCACGCATATGCAGGCAGCTGATAATCATTGCGTGATCATAGCATAGGTCAGGCCTTAGCCATCTCAGCAGTTGATTATACATCTCCATCAGGTGTGACACCACGCAGCTCGCTACAGGCTACTGCACCCCATTTTTGGGTGGATTCTGAGTTTTGAGCTCAGGTCATCCTAGCACTTTATCTGTTGAGCTGTCTTCCTTGGCCTCCCATCTGTGCAAATAAATCTTAAAGGCACGTATTGATTTTGACTGTACTGTGTTCTGATGAAATTATATTTATTAACACACGAATATGCTTGTGTATGGTTCCCAATATCATATTCCTTTTTCTTAGGAAAGAACACTCTGTGAGTATTGGGCTGATGCCTGGCTTGGGGTCCATGCTTTTAATCCTAGCACTTGGATACTTGAGAGACAGATCAGGTGGAGCTCAATGACTTCCAGGCCAGGCAGGACTGTATAGTAAGAGCCTGTGTCAAAACAAAAACAAAAGCACAGCAGCTTACCAGACATTTGGTCCTGATGTTACACATCTGTAATCTTAGCACTCAGGAGATAAAGGCAAGGGAGAGTCATGGGTTAAAGGCCAGCTTGGGCCACCTAGCAATTTCTTAACTAACCCCAGCTACAGTAAGATACTGTTTATAAAGCTTGTGACATGCAGGTGCTAAGGACAATACACTTCATCTTACTGACTTTACAGAGGCTTTCAGATTCTTCAGAATTTGTTTCTTTCTTAAAACAAGAACAAATTTAGGCCACATGTTGATGTGCATTCAGTGATCCTATCTTGGAAGAAATATGTTCAGTTCTGAGAGATACATTTTTAAAGAAATAAGGCTTTAGGCCTGGAGACATGACTCAGGTTAAGTCCATGTACTATTCTTGCAGAGGACCCAGGTTTTATTGCCAGAACCCACATCAGGTGGCTCACAACTGCCTGTAACCCTCATTTTCAGGGGATCCAACACTTTGGCCTCTGAGAACACCTGGCATAAATTGATTTATGCCTTCAACATACACATAATTAAAGATAATAAAAATAAATCTTAAAAGGCAAAGACTAGACATTAACTGAAGCTGTGATTTCTGTTGAACCGTGCAGTGCAAACCTACCTGGTCTCCATGCCTGGCTACCTAGCGCACTCCTGCCCGGCGGGCCTAGTGTGGGATAGGATGTGTGTCACAGCCTAGCCATGAGCACAGCTTCCGTGGCTTACCTCACTTCTCCACTCTGCATCAACAAACCAAACTCAGTGTAATCTAAAATGTCGAAAAACTCCAAATAGTTTATTTTACTAGGCTGATTCTTGTTCATGTAGTGCAAAAAATCTCATGCAATCACATTTGCTATATAGCTCTGGTGTTTGAAAACTGACCTGAGACATGGCCTACCTAATGCTGGCCTCATCACATTTCTTATCAGATACACAAGTGGCTTACAACAGCTGGTAATGTTGGTGGCTGCATTTCCTCCTGGGAAGGTTGAGATTATTGGCTTCAAGATTGATTCAAAATGTGGTTTGCAAGAGTGGAAAGAATTTGAATTATTAAGTTTCAAAGTCCTGTTCTTTAGATTTTTAACTATGTCTTTCTGTATGTGTCTGTGTACAGGTATGTGTATGTGAGTTCTGGTGTCCCAAGGAGGCCAGAAGAGAGTGTTAGATCCCCAGAGCTGGAATTACATATGGGAGGTTGTGAACTGCCTGTTGTGGGTGTGGGTCCTCTGGAAGAGCAGCAAGTGTTCCTAACCTTTGAGTCATCTCTCCAGCTCCAAGCTGGCAGAGCTGTTCTAATACTTGAAGAAGGCTATGACTGGAATTTTAGTTTAGCATGCCAACCTTTTAGGAAGATGAGATATTAGTAGTAGTGGTTTCTACTAAAAATTCTAAACATGCATCTTTAGTATGTGGCTAGTCTCCTGCAGGAAAATCTGTTTTTTGAGGCGTTTATTTTCTAGTGTGTCAAGGCACTGGTTAGTGTCACAGCAGTTTCTCTTGCTGCTGTCAGGCTGTGGGCTTAGTTCTCATGAATAAAGTGGTTGAAAGGAGAGTTTAGTATATGGTGATAGAAACATGACAGAAAGCCATGTTCAAAGTTTATTATAGTAACATAGGCTAAAAATGTCGAGTTGAAAATGACCTAACCAGTAGTAGGGACCCATGGTGCCCCTAGAAACCAGGGCTTTGTGAGAGTATAGCAGGCGGAATGGCCGTTGGTGAGATGGGCACAGTTGATGTAACTCAGTTCTGGCTTGGAGACATAACTGAATGATGGAGCCTTTTTGCATAATGTTAGAAAGATTTGATTTGGAGTCACGATGGAGAGGTTAGAGGTTATTCAGTGTTACACATCTGGGCATGGAGAATGCGGGATCAAAGGTATCTGTTAGAAGGTAAGATGAGGGCACACTGGGGCTTTGAGAAGGTGGCTGATTTTGGATGGCAATGGAGGTAGTTAGCTGAGAGTCCCTGGAGGGTGTGACTCTTCAGAAGCCGAGGAAGATGGAGTTTAAAGAGGAAGGGAGACATTTGAAGCCTGGACATGACCTTGGGCAACAGAGAGAGGTCTTGTTGGGCAGCTGTATTAGAGGCAGTCTCTTCTAACTTAAGTGAGTTTTAATGACCCAGTCCTTCTCATCATGTGAAAGGTGACTTGTGAAACTCTCCTTAAAGAATCACCTGTGACACAAGGACTCAGGTTCTTTTCAATTGGTGAGGTGGACAGAGGCTAGCATGGCTTTTCATGTGCAGGCTTTTTAATTTGAGTCTTAGTATACATCTGGTCTTTAAATAGTCAGATAAACTTGGGTAAGATGAAGTATGCATTTCTTTAAATTACCCAGAAAAATTACATACAGAATAAAAGAAGTGTAATAGGATTTTTAGAAAGTCTCATACAGGCAGATCTTACTGAATTTTATTTGATCCTAATATAAAACTGTACTATTGAATATTAATTTTAATATGTGTAGACCTTTTGGTTTTATACCTCATTGTAATCTATCTATCTATCTATCTATCTATCTATCTATCTATCTATCTATCTATCTATCTATCTATGTTTTTCAAGACAGGGTTTCTCTGTAGCTTTGGAGCCTGTCCTAGAACTAGCTCTTGTAGACCAGGCTGGCCTACAGAGATCTGCCTGCCTTTGCCTCCCGAGTGCTAGGATTAAAGGCGTGCGCCACCACCCGCCAGGATACCTCTTTGTATTATATGTGATGTTTCCCTCCCTGTAATATGTGTGATGGTTCCTTCCCTTTCTTCTTTTCTCCCTTCCCTCCTTTTTTTCCTTTCTTCTTTTCCCTCCCTCCCTCCCTCCCTCCCTCCCTCCCTCCCTCCCTCCCTCCCTCCCTCCCTCCTCTTCCTTCTTCTTCTCTTCTCCTCCTCCTCCTCCTTTTTTTTTTTTTTTTCCCAAGACTGGGTTTTTTTTTGTGTGTGTGTGTGTATCCCTGGCTGCCCTGGACTCACTTTGTAGACCAGCCTGACCTTGAACTCAGAGATTAGCCTGCCTCTGCCTCCAAGTGCTGGGATTAGAGGTGTGCACCACCATGCCTTGCCAATACTGTGTAAGTTAACAACTCTTGATTCTCTGATACCTCCAAGCACACCTTGTCTCATACTCACATGTACATGAGTGTCCCGATTGTTGTCTCTAAGATAGGCTGAGCTCTTTTCCACATAGTGAATCTCCCGTGTGAGACTCACTTCTTTGTAATACCGGATACACTTTTATTCTGGTTATTTATTATCATTACCGAGAGAGAAATGTTATGGTTAGATTCTTTTGGTAAGATTTACCTGGCAAGCCCTCAGCTGAAAGTCCACTGTAGTTTTTTTTTTTTTTTTTTTTTTTTTTTGGTTTTTCGAGACAGGGTTTCTCTGTGGTTTTGGGGCCTGTCCTGGAACTAGCCACTGTAGTTTTAATTCAGTGCCTTTCCTCCTAGCTTCAGTAATTTTAAAGTCTTAATTATCTCAACCATGTTCAAACAGGTTTACCTATTAGTTAATGTGTTTCACTTATTAAAAATCACCTGTAGTTTACTCAGACTCATAAGAATTATATGTCCTTGTGCATGTGTGTGTGTCTGAGAGGCAGCATTCACATATGGAGTCAGATAACAGCTTTCAGAGTCAGCTTACTGCTTCTGCCACGTGGGTTTTGGAATTGAACTCTGCTCACCAGGCTTGGCAGCAGGCACCTTTACCCACTGAGCCCACTGGGTAAAGCATAAAGTAATATTATTAAAAATATTACTTTATGCTTATATAACTTGTCTTCAGCTTGGATATAGGAAAGAAAGATATAGTGTATATAGATTTGTTAATTCAATACAGTGAAATTGATACAGAATTTTACATTTCCACATATTTATATTTGAATTTCTTTGTTGTATTTTTTAGTTCTTATGGTTTTGATGAGAAATACTCAAACTAGTTTTCTGCTTTCGATTTAGGTTCAACCTTAAAGTACAATTGCAGATTTTAGCAAGCTTCATGCTCACTAGAGTTTCTGGGGGTGCAAAGTATGCTCAGAATGGACAACTTTTTGGTCGTTTTAAGCTTACTGAAACCCTTTCTGAAGATACTTTGGCTGGACGACTGGTGATGACCAAAGTCAATGCTGTTTATTTATTACCAGTCCCTAAAGAGAAGCTAGTACAGAACCAGGGAACCAAAGAGAAGGTTTATGAAGCTACTATTGAAGAAAAAACAAAAGATTATATATTTTTAAGGATATCCAGGGAATGCTGTGAAGAGCTTAATCTTCGGCCTGACTGTGACACACAGGTATGTTTGCAGGCAGTGCCTTCCCCAGTGTCTTCAACCCCAGTGTCAGCTGTTGCCTGCTGCTTGTTCTCCCTTGCCGACCAGAAGTGCACTTGACTTTGAAGGCATATTATCCTGGGTAGTTAGAATTGCAGTTTCTGTCACCTTTTGAATTTAAGGAACATGTAGTATGTTCTAGTTTTGTACAAGCTTGAACTCTCTGATTAGACGTTTGACATCTGCAATGAAAGAGTAAGGTTTTTTTGTTTGTTTTTTAAGCTGCTGTGACTAGGGCCACTGGATCAGCATTGTCTGCTTTCCTTGTTTTTCACTAATGGTGTTTAGGTGAAGCCTGTGGCCTGTTGGCTATATTTAACTGGAAAGCTAAATCTAGCCTTTAGATGAAATAGACCATTATTCATAGTCAGTCTGTACAGGGTTGTAAGGTCGATTATCACTCAACATGTGATACTATACACTTGTTCTGGTGTTATCAAATGTGTTCTTCATGGGCATGGTCTGCTCAGACACTCTTTATCTAGCATTTATAAGATTTCAGTTCTAAGTATGTAAAATGAGGTCAGTAATAGCATGTATGCTGTTAGTATGATTACACAAGGTCATCCATGGTAACTGCTTGTTACAGTGCCTAACAAATGCTGCCAATGGGATATAATCATAGTCTGAAAGAAGCTCTGAACTTGTCCTGCAAATTGTTGTCTCCATGAAGTATTTTTGTGCACTGCCAATAGTGATGTTGGTGTAAAAGCTATTTTAAAAACATTCATTTTGTATTTCAGGTTGAACTTCAGTTTCAGTTGAATCGACTACCCCTCTGTGAAATGCATTATGCACTAGACAGAATTAAGGACAATGATGTTTTGTTTCCAGACATCAGTATGACTCCTACCATACCTTGGAGTCCCAACAGGTATGAAAAGAGATTTCTTAGAAAAAGGAGGATGTTAATATTAAATTGAATGCCTGTATCAGTTCAAGCACACTTGCTTGTTTGCTTTTTTCTTTTTCTTTTTTTAAGACAGTGTTTCACACTATAACCAGGCTGGACTGAATCTTATTATGTAGTTCAAGTTGACCTTGAACTTGTGGTCATCCTCTAGCCTCCGTCACCCCAGTGCTGGGGTTGCCAGTGCAAGCTAGTACACTGAGCTCAAGCCTGCCTTTGTTAGACAGCTTGCTTATGTTCTTCAGGAGATGAACGAGACATTTGACATTCAGACTGGAGATTAGTTCTGTGGCTTCTCTCAGTGATCTCAATTTGATAGAACACTGAGCAGCTTAGGGATATTTCCAAATGGAATTCTGACGTGACAATCATGACCTTTCTGCAGTGGTTCAAATAGATACAACAGCTTTGGACGTAGATGGTATTGTGATTTAGCAAAGTAGAGGGAGAGGTCAGAAGATGTTTCTTCAGAAACTGCTGTCAAGTTAGGGGTTGTGCAAATAGCCATCTTCTTAACTGTTAACTCCACTTGAAGTTAAATAAATTACTGCTGGTTTGTCCCAAGAAATGCAGCTGTGTAAGTGTTCTTTGTCACTGGTTTCTGTCCCATTAACTTCTGCTTTCCTAGCTCACTTGACCATAGGAAAGTATCTAAGTGACTTTACACATAAAGATTTGCTTGGGTGGCCACTTGGCAGAGTGGTGGTCCTGTTCCCTCCTGATGAATGTCTTGGTGTCTTTTGTGATTGATTACTGTTGACAAGTAGAGGACCAGGTGGTACATTTTTATAGATCAGGCCTAGAAGGATCAAGACACACAAGTCCATTCAATATTCCATTGCTTCTGGTCCTAAAAACAGAATAAAACATGATACACCTTTTAGTACAAACTTTCCATTACTGCCTCACCCCACTTCTTTTATTGCCACGTTTCTCAATAGGCAATAGTCTGCGTGTCTCCCAACATTCTTCATTTACTGTGACTTTGCTGCTCATTGTCCTGAAAGTAATTGTGATCTGATCATAGAAACTCAGGGACATCTCAGCTCTCATTTGGTTGAGCTTTGCATCCATCTCTTTCTTTCCATTCTTTTTTTTTTTAAAAGATTTATTTATTATGTATACAACATTCCTTCCATGTATGTCAGAAGAGGGAACCAGACCTCATTACAGATGGTTGTGAGCCACCATGTGGTTGCTGGGAATTGAACTCAGGACCTTTGGAGGAGCAGGCAATGCTCTTAACCACTGAGCCATCTCTCCAGCCCCCTTTCTTTCCATTCTTATAACTGGTGCTGCGGTTATGCTTGAACTATTTTGGTGACATTCTGTTATCTTCCATCCTGCTGTCTGTATCTCTGTTGTTTGGCCCAACTTAAATACTTCTTCCAAAGTTAGTTTTTAAAATAACTGTGGCATTTCATCATGTGTAGATCTTTGGATAAAGTCTGAGAACCTGATGCTGAGCTCTGTTCTAGCTTCTCACTGACTGCCTTCTAGTCCTGTCGTCTTTTCTCATTCCTAGTTTTGGGTGCATTCAGTTGTCTTGACACTTATTTATGCCTTCCTGTACTTATTTACCTCCTTATGTTTTTGTTATTCCTATTAAGCTTTTAAAACATTATGGTAAAATCCATGCAACAAAGAATCCATCATCATTAATCATTTAAGAGTCTAGTCTGTTAGCTTAAATATATTGATGCTGTGTACTCATTGTGTGTCTCTACCCCCTCATCTCTGTTCACAGCTGCATGGTTTCCTCTGCTGACCAGTCTTTGACCGGGATCAGCCTTTTGAAGATCGTTTGGTACTTTATAGTCACATGCAGCTTAAGTGCTCACTCTTCAAGTAGATGAGCAGGATGCTTCTGTTTCATTATTTCAGCACGTTTTTACTGAGTCCCTGCTGTGCCAGTTTTGGGCTTTCCAGCATGATCTCTCTAAATTAATTTTTGTCAGTTGTGTACATTTCAACTTTTTTCCTGAACTCCAAGCTTTGTAAAATACGAGATCATGTCTTATTTATTTTGACAGTCAAGAAAGTCTTGTACGTTGAAGTTAATATTAATTTCAGGTTTAAAGAGGAAGTTAATATTAATTTCAGCCTAGTGAAGCTTTTGGCATTATGACTTGATTTGCTCATTGTGTCCAACAGTACTACTGGCTGGCTGTTAAGTACAGAAGTGCCAGAAGCTGTCACAGAGCAGGATGCTTTCAAGCAGGGCCAGGCTTGCCCACTACAGTAGGTATAGTAGAGGAGGGTCCTGTGTCTAGGACCTGAGATGCTGGTAGCCATGCAAACCCTTTTCTGGAATCACAGGGATTTTATTTTATTTTATTTTTTCCATTCAAAAATTTACACTTCCTCCCCTTCTCCGCCCCCCTCCCCTCTTCCCTCCCCCTCCCTCCTTAAGAGAGGGCATGGAACCCTGCCCTATGGGAAGTCCAAAGCCCTCCCCCCTACTTCCAGGCCTGGGAAACTTTGCATCCAAATAGACTAGGGTCCCAAAAAGCCAGTACCTGCAGTAGAAACAAGTCACAGTGCCTTTATCAATGGCTTCTCAGTCAGCCCCCACTGTCAGCCACATTCAGAGAGTTCGGTTTGATCGCATGCTTGTTCAGTCCTGGTCCAGCTGGATTTGGTGAGCTCCCATTAGAACAGGCACACTGTCTCAGTGGGTGGACCAACCCCTCGTGGTCCAGACTTCCTTGCTCATCTTCTCCCTCCTTCTGCTCTTCAACTGGACCTTGGGAGCTTTTAGAAAGACAATGAAGCCGAAAAGTCATTCTTGAGCATGTAGCCTATGAACTAATTGCAGGAATGAATTGGGCCAGAGGAGGAAAGGCTTTGAATTAACATAGTGCTGGGAGTGAAAGAATTTTTTTCATTTAAAATTTTTTTCCTCCTGAAACTAAGCTTGGATAGACTGTTTTCAGCTGTGGAGACAAGGCTCTGCAGCATGCATGCTTTCTTACTCAGTAGTTGGACAATGACGATAGTTGCTTTCAGATTTTGGCTTTCTTTACGTATTCATTATTTATTGCCAGAAATTGCAGAGATAACTGACATCAACAAAGTCTCAGATCTGCTCTGAGTCCCTTACAACTAAAACAGTTGATAATCAGAATGGGCTCTACAGTTAAGGAATGATATTGACAAATTTACAGAATTGTTCCTTAAGTTTGTGGTTAAACTCTTAGCTTTGTAGTTAATATACAGAGTCCTCTATTTTTAGCGTTTTGTAACTCATGCTGATGGAAATGGTTGGTATGTATTGTTTTGTTTTTTAATGTGTATTATTCAAGTAATGTCTTTTCCTAAAATCATCAGAGAATATAGAAATAGAAGCTAAAGTGGATTAAACTTTTGATGCTCAAGTATTTTTCCAAACAACTTTAGATTTAGAGTAGTATATAACTCAGGTTAGTTTTGATTCCTTGTAGAAGAGATTACATTGACTGTAATCTGGAGAGGTGTTAGCGTAAGTGTTGGTTATTGTAGATGCTGTGCTACTTGTGTAGGTGTGTCGGTGAAACTGACAGTACTGATGTGCATGTTTGTATTTTCTACAGACAGTGGGATGAGCAATTAGATCCTCGACTAAATGCAAAACAGAAAGAAGCTGTCCTGGCCATCACCACTCCTCTCTCCATCCAGCTGCCGCCTGTTCTCATCATTGGACCCTACGGGACAGGCAAAACCTTCACCCTGGCTCAGGCCGTCAAGCACATCTTGCAGCAGCAGGAGACCAGGTGAGTGGAGGAGGCATTACTGTCTCCTTAGCCAGACACAATTTCTCTTCTCGTTTTAAAGATAGAATGAGGGCCAATGAGACAGTTTATCCAGCTCCTAATCATTAAAGGAAGAGCAAGACCTCAAAGCGATGAAGTTTGTATTCTCTTAGAATATGTTGTTTTAGAAGCTGGCAATGTAGACAATGAGAGTTTTTAACATAGCTGTCAAATCTTCAAGTCTGCTAAGGGTTGGGTATGTTAGAACTCAAAGAGCTGGGTTTAGAATGTTTATTACAGACAGATTTAAAATTTATTTGGGGGAAGTCCTCTTTAGCCTAGAGTAACATACTCTCTAAAGACATCATGGGGTCCCTGGTGAAGACTGAGCAGGATGAGGGAAATGGACATGTAAGATGGCCACTGCTTATTTGGTATTATATACTGCTTGACTAGCTTTGTGTTGTGTCATTCTTTTTATTTGCACCATTTATTTCAGCAGGATTCTCATTTGCACCCATTCTAATAGTGCTGCTGACCTCTACATAAAGGATTATTTACATCCATATGTAGAAGCAGGCAATCCCCAGGCAAGACCTCTCAGGTATTTTTAAGGCTTATTATGTATCTGTATCGTTCTTTGTTATTCTTAAGAAAAGGTGTCTGTAAAGATTTTAGAGGCTTTGGAAACACCTAAAGCATTAATTGTGCATTGGCATTTGAAGGTTATGTTATTGGAAGAAATCCTTAAATTAAGGCAAAATGTAAAAATTGTTGACCATTTCTGAAACATTACATATACAGAAAGACATCCTTTTTTAAGTTTCTCATGTAAAACTGTTGTTACGGTTGGAGTAGATTTTGGTATGTACATCTAAAAAATAGTGTAAGATAAGCAATTAGCTTAAATCAAATTGAGTTTGGTTACTAGCATAGCAGAGAAGTCATGTAATAACAGTTCTTGACGGAGTCAAATTTTAACTGTGGTCATTTACTAGAAGCTGCACATTAGAGAAGCATGTGTTCTTCACACTTCTGCAGCACTGTGATGATGTGTTCAGGACTTTTTGCTACTATGTAAGAGAAAGAGTATCAAAAGAAATTTTCCATTGCTGTAGAAAGGTCCAATGATTATATGTGGACATAAAATATACTTAAATATAGACTATGGGAGAATAAAAATCCTTTTCTTCAGAAAACAATAAAGAATCATAAGTAGTTATTTTATTATATCATTTACTTTTGTTGTTATATGAATTATTAGTTTTGCCATTTTGCAAACTAATACACCATGGTTTAGGTTGGTCATATGATTATTAATTACTGCTTATAATTAATTTCTAACCACACTTTGATTCATAATATACTAACCTCTTATTTCTAGTCGAGTCCAGGCATGGAAACATGAAGTTATGCTATTTAATTCTTTAATTCCCATCACCAAAACCCTTTGAAAGTGTTCAGCACAGTGGTGTGGCCTGCCAGCACAGATGCCCATGCTGCGCTGTCCTCTCACTGTAAGACTAAGAAATCATCAGTGCAGTAGAATCAGTTACGTGTAGTAATAAAATACTGACCGCTTATCCCCTGAGCATGGGCAAGATGTTTACTGAAAGATGCCTTCACAGTAGGTTGCGGATTTTAACCTCTAACCTCACAGTGGAAGTGGAGGAGCTAGCATTCTACCCTGAGTGTTCTCTAATGGAGAAGAGTTGATTGTTTTATTTACTTGTAGTGGTATGTCTGTGTGTGTTTGTGTGTGTTACATAGAAAATGTGGCAGTCTTGGATATCATGGTGTTCTTGGCTTAGAAGCAGTTGAATGGAGCTAGTGGTGGCGGCGCACAAAAGCCTTTAATCCCAGCACTCGGGAGGCAGAGGCAGGCTTATCTCTTGAGTTTGAGGCCAGCCTGGTCTACAGAGTGAGTTCCAGGACAGCCAAGGCTACATAAAGAAACCCTGTCTTAAACCAAAAAAAGCAAACTAAACAAAAACAAAATACTTGAGAGAAGCCCCCATCTTGCTTGGTGGACTTAGCATAGGGTATTTGATATTTGAGATAGTAGACTCCCATCATATTTCGAGGTTATATAGCCTTTCCACGTGCAATTATTTTGGGCTGTGAGGATCCGCCATGACATGTGTCCCCATATGTGTAATACAAAGTGATTTTTCCAGTAGAGTGTGTTCAGAGTGGTCCAAGTGCAGAAAGATATCTCACTTTTTCTTAGCTCTCAGAGTTGTTGAATCCAAGACGAAAAAATAATTATTTTCAGATTATTTCATTTAGTAAACAATAAAATGAAAAAGTGCCTAGCTTCCTGGAGTGTTTTCTTTATACAACACCCTACATACTTACTGTAAGCTTTATTTCTCTAGGAGAGGTGCTAGCTTGCAGCTGCAACCTAGGAGGGTTTATGTTTTGAATTCTTAGACTGTATTAGAACATTAGCTGAGATTAGTTGATAGTTTTCCTATGAATCATAACCATGATAGATTTGGGAGATAGAGAGGATTAGAATGCCTAATTGCTCTTTGAGAGTTTTGCTCCTTTTGGTGGTTCTGGAATAGAACCTTATGGGCTTGGCCACATGCTAAGCAAGTGCTCCTTGCCACAACCCTAGCCAGAGGAGGGGGAAAAAAAAAACAGCTTTACTGGAGTTGTTCTGGAATGTGAGAGATGGAACACAAGAGGGCACCAGATGTCTATATGCTCCTGAGAGGAGAGCTGTTGATAGAAAGGCAGGCTGATATAAGTTGGCTGCTTCTCAGGCCGTAGTGTGGACTTGGCCCTGGGAACCAGACTAGTCAATGAGGAGATAAAGTAGTAGTGTGGTAAGCACGATACTCAGGGTTAGGATTCATGAAGTTTCTGTTAGTTGCCAACTAAGCCTAACGTATTTGGAGTTCTTAGATAACATTTTAGATTACATTGAGTTTCGGTTTTTACTTTGTTTAGAATTGGGGGATTTATATACATGTGTATATATGACATACATGCACACATCCCTATAGACAGATAAGTAAACAAACAAATGAATAGAATTCAGAGATTTGAGAAAAAGAATATAGAAATACAGATGGGGAGTGGCACATGACTGTAATCCTAGTACTTGGTGAGGCGGAAGCTGGTAAATTATTACAAATTTGAGGTCAGCCTTGTAATATCAGGAGTCACGAGAGCTACACTGTGAGACTTTGTCTCAAAGTTACAAAACAAATAAAAACAAAAACAAGGAAAAGAAGTATGAGGAAAGCACCTTCCCTCCCTCCCTTCCTCCTTCCCTCCTTCCTTCCTTCTTTCCTTCCTTCAGATTTATTTATTTACTGTGTATGCAGTATCCTGCCTGCATGTATGCATGAAGGCTAGAAGAGGTTACCAGACCTCGTTACAGATGGTTGTGAGTCACCGTGTGGCTGCTGGGAATTGAACTCAAGACCCCTGGAAGAGCAGCCAGTGCTCCCAACCTCTGAGCCATCTCTCCAGCCCCCAGCAGTTTCTTTTTTGTATGTGGATCTGAGGATAAGTTTCTGACCCTCGCAAGACCATAGTGCATGGAGGCAGTTATCTGGAGGAATGGTGTTACTGCTGTCTGGGAAAGTTGAAGGCAGCTTCATTTCAGGTAGTCTTTAAAGAAATAGGTGTTTTTATTATTATTATTATTATTATTATTATTATTATTATTATTATTATTATTATTATTATAATAAAGGAATCATCAGTTTTTTGACAATTTCTGTTCTAAGTGGTAACTTTTTTTGTTTTGTTTGTTTTCCTAGATAGTGTTTCTCTGTAGTTCTGGCTGTCCTCGACTAGCTCTGTAGACTAGGCTGGCCTCGAACTCAGAGAGATCTGACTGCCTCTGCCTTTTGAGTGTTGGGATTAAAGGCGCATGCCACCACCACCTGGCTAGTAGTGACATTTTTAGTTGTTTATTGTATGTGAATTTATTACAAGACTTCACTGAATTAAAATTACATATACCAAACTATTTTCTGTTTAAGTATTATCCTGAATCTTACGGAATATGTAAGCTGGTTTGTTTCTAGGAATACATAAGATATGCTGTCACATATATATTTATATTTTTTATTTCTCTCCTGTGGTGCTAGAAACCCAGAGCTTTGAGCATATTAGTCTTTATCTCCTACATTTATACTTTCAATGGATGATGAACTTAAAAACATCATTTGCCAATGTTAATTCTCTGATTTGAAAAATGTCACATTTATTTTATTTCTTTCTCCGCCTTTGTAAATACTATCCCATTCATCTAGTTTCAAAAGCTAGAAGTAGGTGGCTGTAAGCCAGCGATCAGGAGGTAGAGATGGGTAGAACAGGAATGCAGATCATACTCCATCTATGTGTAGTGAGGTCGAGTCCAGCCTGGATGATTTCAGACTTGCTGTTTCAAAAGCAGAAATGAAACAGAATCATCCATTGCCTTAAATTCTATCACTAGATCATTAATGAATTCTGTTGATATTACATTAAAATGTCTAGTGAATCCAATTTGTATATCTCTGCTCTTATGCAAGCCACCATCATCTCATGTCCAGATCCTGGCATTAACCTCCTGACCTGCCTCCCTGTGGCTTTTGTACCCTGCTTTCCCCTCCACCTCACTTAGGATTGTTCTGGAATCAACTCATATGAGCTTGTGAGGGCCCGTCATGAACCCTTTCCATGTTCATGTTTATTGACACCATGCAGATGCCTTGAAGTTGGCCATGGGAGCAGCTTTTTACATCACAGGAGTCAGCAAATGCTGGAGCCCTTACCCACATCTGCTTGTTAAACAGTGAGCAGTATGCCACCCTTTAACTCTCTCCCTAAGTGGATTCTGCCCAGAGACCAGAGTAGTCTTCCAGCAACATGAGGCATCACGACTGCCCTGTCCAGTCTGATGGCTTTTCATTAAACTCAGAGTAAAGCCAAAGCCTTTGTGGTTGCTCTGAAGCCCTGTGCTCTTGCACAGATCTTTGTCATGTGGTCAGTGGGGTGGTAGAGGCTAGAAGTTTAGGTTGTGTCTGTACATCAGATCAGAGTAATCTATAGCTGATTCCTATTCATATTTTCTACTGTAGTTATTTGGAAAGATGAAAAGGTTGTGTCTGTACAGATCAGAGTAATCTATAGCTGATTCCTATTCATATTTTCTACTGTAGTTATTTGGAAAGATGAAATTTCTTAAGATTTGCACTAAAGAGTTTTTGATTATTCAAAAAATTAATTTATCTTCAGATTTCAGAAGCCCAGGTAGAGGTCTTTTTAAAAATAGTTTTAAGAACTTTTCTAAAGTAAAATTATTGCAAATTGTCCTAACCTAAAAATGTTATAAGCATACAATTTCATGGTTTGTGTTAGCATAAATAATTAAAATATAAGTTAAGTACATTTTTGTAATAGTATATATAATTGAAAAAAGATAGTTTGAGAATGAAAGGTTTCAGTTTTTAATTTTTAAAACAAACTCTTGCTTATAAAGCATAAATTGATATATTAATTCTGTTGAAAGATTAATCTGCATACTTAAAAAATAGGTATTTTGTGTTGGCACCTACACTTTGTGTTTATTTGATGGGAAGGTCATTGTGGGCATAGTGGCAGTTTTATCCTAATATTCTAAACTAATATGGAGTGAATGATTGAGATTTATTTATTTGTTAATTTTTGGCACTATGGTCTTAAGTAACAGTCTAGTGTTTTAGTAATCAGCAACTATAACCATCCTAACAGGAAGTGTGGTCCTCTCTTGTAGGGTGTATTTCCGAAACCGCTGGGTGAAGACTGTCCACCCGGTTGTGCATCAGTACTGTTTGATCACAAGTGCACACTCCACCTTCCAGATGCCCCAGAAGGAAGACATCCTTAAACACCGAGTGGTGGTGGTCACACTGAATACTTCCCAGTACCTCTGCCAGCTGGACCTTGAACCCGGTATGCCCACTCACCACAGGGGCTTAGCATATGCCTAAGTTTGACAAGTTCTAGCCTGTGGGCCGTATCTGGCCAGGTGTTTCTTTTGCTGCATGGAATGCAGCTGCCCATGCCTATTTATTAACTTGTTTCTTGTCTGTGGCTGCTTTTGTGGTGCAAATCTCAGGCGGGATCTTCAGCAGGTCAGCAGGGAAAGAAACTCTTTGGCCCTTGACTGAAAATCATTTGCCAGCCCCCGGTATAGTCAGCTCGCTGACTGCAGTCCCATGTGTGCTCTAGTCAGCCAGGTGGTTTTGTTGGTTAGTGAACATGTGAAGAATTCAAATATGGACAGTGTTTTTGTGTGTGCGCATGTATGGTTTGTTGAGGTTTCCTAAGTTGTTTTTGCATCTTGTGTAGAAATAACAATCATGGCTCATGATTAAGGTTTCTCTTTTTTAAAAACTTTACTTGTGTGTGTGTCTGCGTCTGCATGCACAGGCGAATGTGTAGGTGTGTGTGCCTGTGGGTGTGTGTATGGAAGCCAAAAGGTGTCCTTTTCCATTACTCTTTGTTTATTCCTTTTAGGCAGAATCTTTCCCTGTGTCTGAGACTCATGCTGTCTTGGGTAGGCTGAAAGCCAGCAAGCCTGAGTGGTTCCCTGTCTGTATCCTCTTTGGAGCTGGGGTTATAGGCTTAGGCGGGATGCCCTACTTGATATGTGGGTGCTGCAGCAGAGCTTCAGTCTTTATCATTGTGCAGTAAGCACTCTTCACTGCTGAGTGAAGCCCCGAGATCATTGTATTTACACTCTGGAACTATGCCAAATCACTCTTAATTTTATTTACTTTTTACTTTTGTGTTTTTGAGACAGAGTCTTGCTTTGTTGCTCATGTTTGCATTGAATTCAATCTTTTGCTTCAGCCTTCCAAGTACTAGGCTTCCAGGTGTGTGCCACCATGCCCAGCTCAATTTAATTCTATATGAGTACACAAACCTACGAAGACAAGTGTGCGAGTAGGATAGGACTTGACCATAAGAGATCATGCCACTTCAGTAGATACTTTAGCAGGGTTCTCACTGGCTTCTGTTTTAGTTGTTGACATTGCTCTTTACTTTTCTGTCTCCTATTGGAATTGCCTTTAAAGCCAGTGACAAATTCTGTTGAACCTCTGAGTCCCTGGATGACAGAGGGTATTCACTTTCTCTGTATTCCTGGTACCTGGCCCAGGGTGTAAACATCTTGAGTCCTCAACTTTAACATTTTTAAGATTAAAAGCTCTGTTTATCTTAAATGAAGGAATGACAGCCAACCTTTTTCTTTTCCCAAATGAAGCTCATTTTAATTTTAGAAAGAATTGTTAAGGGAGGTGACTAACCTGGGATTAGTGACTAACATGGGAAGGCGCCCCCGTGGGATGGGACTTTCTCTCCATGCTTATAGCTCTTAGTGGCTGTGAGGGCAATCCTAGGATGTGTTTCAGAGTTCATGGCACACTGGCAGCATCACTGCAAACAAGGCTCTTTGAAAGGTCAGTTGGGGAATACTTATTCAGCCCCCTTCCTCCTCACTTGGGGCTGATACCTTGTACACGTGTTCTGCAGATAGAAAGCTAGATGCTGTAGCATTGCTTGGTGAGAGGCCAGGGCATCGAGCTATGTTTACTAGGTTTCTCTCTTGTTCTGGGTTCTGTTACATATTATTTCATTTCATTCTCTTATCAATCCTATGGTGATTATTTTATAGTTAACCAAGCTAACAGGGTTTCTCTATGTAGCTCTGGCTGTCCTGGAACTCCTTCAGTAGACTAGGCTGACCTGGAACTCAAAAATCCACTTGCCTTTGCTTCCCAAGTGCTGGGTTTAAAGGTGTGTGCCACCACACTTTGGCCCTTCTGTTTTTTGTTTGTTTGTTTGTTTGTTTATAAATAAGCTTTTCGAGTCAGGATTTTTCTGTGTATCCCTGGCTGTCCTGGAACTCATTTTGTAGATCAGGTTGATCTCAATTCAGATCCCCTTGTCTCTGCCTTTTCTAACTTAACTAGTAGACAATAGTATCAGTATTTGTGCAGCTCCTGGAAAAAAAAAAGATAACTAAAGAAAATAGTTAACCCTTTTTAATCTTTTTTTAAAAAATATTTAAATCATTTATTTTTAGTACTCTGTATCTGAGAGAGATTATGTGTATATGTGTATGTATGTATGTGCAGAAGATATCAGATCCCTGAAGTTACAAGTAGATTTCAGCCATCCAACATGGGTGCTGGAAACCAGACCCAGGTCCTCTATAAGAGCAGTGCATTTGCTTAACTATCGAGTCATCTCTCCAGCTCTTAACCTTTTTTAAAAAATCATGTCTTGATTGTTATCTAGATTGAGGATGATCTTAAGGTACTCATGACTCTTGGATTAACTGGGGAAGCTCTTTCCTTAGGGCTGCAGGGAGAACTACTTCTGTACTGCTGCTGTGATGTGTGCTCTGTTTACACTGTGCCTTCCAGGGTTCTTTACGCACATTCTGTTAGATGAAGCTGCCCAGGCCATGGAGTGTGAGACCATTATGCCTCTAGCCTTAGCAACTAAGAACACACGGATTGTTTTGGCTGGTGATCATATGCAGGTAGGTGCCATCTTAGTCACTGTCTTACAAGTTAATACCAGTCTTTACCAGAGCAGGGACCTCATTCTAGGGCCTCTCTTTACCAGATTAGCCTCTGTTCTGTGAAGGTCAACAGGTGGGAAGTAAGTGATGGGGCAGGAGAGGAGCCTTGAACTTCTTGTAGCGGCATTGGGGAGACCATGTGGAGCTACCATTGCAACATTAGCCTTGAGGCTATGACAGGACAAGACAGAGGATGTGATAGCCAAGTCTGCTGAGTGCTTCTGTAGTTCCCTACTTCTAAAATCTGTTTTTGAGAAGGTTTAATTTTTAGTGTCTTATGAAATAAAGCATACTATTAAAATTATAGCCACAATTTCAAATATGTCAGATTTTATGCCATTTGCATACTTATAAAGAGAGACGCCATCTGTCTGTGATGCTGTTTGGAGCTTGTCCTGATGCTTCAGTGGGTTGAGGGTCTGCAGAGCAGGCGTGAGTCTTCCAGGAAAGTAGCTAGTGTGCAGAAGGAATTTTGTGCTCACTTGCTTGAAGTAGTTTAAGTGTGATTTTTCTTTCTTTCTTTCTTTCTTTCTTTCTTTCTTTCTTTCTTTCTTTCTTTCTTTCTTTCTTTCTTTCTTTCGCAGTAAAAGGTGTAGCCTAGAGTGGCTCTGTGTACTTATTTAAACAAGGAGGCTGTTTATAATTTTTTTAATTAAAAGAAAACTTTCTTGCTATATTTTATCATTTATGTATGGATTTAAGGTTGGTTACATAACCCTTTTGTAGTTTTAAAAAAATACTTATTTTATATGTAAGTGTGAATCAGAGTATATCTGTATGCACCATGTGCATGCGGTGCCAATGGAGGTCAGAAGAGGGTGTGGGAACTGAACCCGGGTACTCTGCAGAGCAGTGAGTACTCTTAGCCTCTGAGCCATCTCTCTAGCCCATTTAAAGTTAATTTATAAAAAAGATTTATTTATTTATACATACATACATGCATATATATATATATATGTTCTTGTCTACATGTACATCTGCACACCAGAAAGAGGGTATTAGATCTCATGACAGTTATGAGATGGTTGTGAGCCACCATGTGGGTGCTGGGAATTGAACTCAGGACCTCTGGAAGAGCAGCCCGTTCTCTTAATCACTGAGCCATCTCTCCAGCCCCTAAAGTTAATTTTTAAGGTTAGCAGATAGGATAGTAGATTTCATTATGGAAAAGGCTTGTTGATTATAGTATTAATATTTGTTCATCATAGTCAAATTTCTTATGAGTTAGTTTTATTTATTTATTCGTTTATTCATTTACTTATTTATTGAGACAAAGTTTTACTGTATATCCCAGGCTAGCCTCAAAACACAACACTTTGACCTAAGTCTCTTAAGTTCTGTGATTCAGGTGTGTACCACAACATCTAGCCTGAATTTATTTTTTTATTTTTATAGTAAATCCTTTAAAACCTTTAGAGGATTTGTTTATTTTGTTTGTGTGTGTGTGAGTGCGTGCGCACACCCACCCATGCATACATGTTGTACATGTGGAGGTCAGAGGACAGCTTGCAGCAGTCAGTTCTCACTTTCTACCATGCGGGCTTTCAGGATCGAACTCTGCATCAAGTCTGACTGCAAGCACTTTTACCCACTGAGCCATTTTGCCAGCCCCCCAGTTTATTATTTTAAATAATTGATTGGTTTGGTGAAGTAACTGATTTATGCTTTTTAAATTATTAAGTTGTATGGGAGGGGTCTGTATAACTGTACGAACTTTAGACCCTATTGCTGCACTGCACTCAGTAGGAGCTTTAGTCCTTGAATTCATAAAATGGTTTGTAGACAAGAAGATTGATTTGGGATGGGGGCTTCCTCCAGCATTCAGCATGTTAAATACATAAGAAGTTTTAGTGTAGAAGACTATATAAGCACTTTCAAAAATACTATTTATATATCTGGTTAAATTTTCTTTGCATGTTTGTCTGTTACAGCTCAGTCCTTTTGTTTACAGCGAGTTTGCCAGGGAGAGAAACCTTCATGTTTCATTACTTGATCGACTCTACGAGCATTACCCTGCCGAGTTTCCATGTAGGATCCTCCTCTGTGAGAACTACCGCTCCCATGAAGCTATCATCAAGTAGGTGTGAGCTGTCCCCTCTGACTCACACTTGTATGGGTTGTGGGAGGGAACCCGGCCAGCACATGGCCAGGCACAGGTGATTTTAGGTGGATTATTTGTGGTCTCTCAGTGTTACAGACTATGCCTAGCTTTGTGTTTTTAAAAGAATACCTCAAAATCCAGAGCTATGATTCTTCCTAAGAAATAATGCAGTTTGAGTACTAAAACTTCAGTTTTTTTCTGGTCATGATATGTTTTTCTATGAATTAATACATAATCTATATGAAAAGTGACATGCCACATTATCTATTTTAAGAGAAAGAAAGAAAGGAAATGGAAAGAGAAAAACCCTGACACTGAGTTTTAAAAAAGACTTCTTTTTAAATATAGTACACATGTGTAAAAGAGTCATCTCCTATGTGACATGTGGGTGACCAACTCTTATGGCCAGCATCCAGTTGAAGAGCAGAGTGTCGCCAACTGGGGGCCTCCATGTGCCCTTTTCCAGTCAACACCCACGCCAGAAACAAACTCTGTAAAAGCTTCCTATAATTTAATATCTGTTATGTCATGCCTGCGGAAAGCATTTCTAGATCTCTCTGGGAGCAGTTGCACAGATTCTGTTCTGTCGTCATCTCACACTGCTTTCCTTTTTCATGGTTGCCATCCATTCATAGTCAGTGATGAGTTTAGTACCAGACAATGTGTTTCTCAACAAAGCCTGTTCACTTTACAGTTGGAGACTATAGTTGGTACAGTGTATCTAAAACTGTATCTTTGTGTTTGCATGTGCAGTCACATGTCACTTAATCTTAGGATGCAGTCTGAGAACTGTCATTTGAACTTTGTCATCGTGTTAATATCACAGGATGCTTTTCACAGACTAAACAGTGTAACCAGTCTCTAACTCTAAACAGTATAATGAGTCTGCTAACTTGGTCTCATGGTAAACACGAGATGTATGAGGCTGCCAGTATGACATAACAGACGGCTTTACAGACATGTTTTTATAGATGGAAGGATACACTCTGAAATAGCAAGATACATAAAACAATAGAACAGTCCTTTGGAATAGGAATACTGTGCATCATTGTCCTTTGTGGGTTTCCACCAGCATCACCACAGAGGTGGGGACCTCTTGGTGCTGTGTTTTGGATGTGCTAGGAGGTTTTCAGCTATGGTCTAGGCCATGGGGTCCATTGTTGACCCAAGGTTTGTTAGGTGACCCATGGTGGTACATGATCCACATTACTGGGATTGCGCGTTAGCTAAGAAAACCCAGTTTAGGGATTTTTTTTCCCAGAGCAGAGATTTTAACTAGTAGTAAATGCTCATCATTTCTTTTGCATTCTGGTTTCATTTCTTACAAATCAATGCATTTAACAATGGTGTTATAGGGACTTTCTCTGTTACCACTGTCATTATTTTTGGGAAATTATTGGCATCATGAGTATTTAGTGTTTGGACAAAAATTAATTGTGGGCATAAATTAGTATTAGAATTCAGCAGGTTTTTGTGTAGGTGAAATTAATTTGGCTGATAGATTCCTTTGTTCTTTTCTTCCTCTGCAGCTATACCTCTGAGCTTTTCTATGAGGGTAAACTGATGGCCAGTGGAAAGCAGCCAGCACACAAGGACTTCTACCCACTAACATTTTTTACAGCACGAGGGGAAGATGTACAAGAAAAAAATAGCACAGCTTTTTATAACAATGCAGAGGTATCTTAGTTATTCATGCCGATTTTAATGTTTTCTTGGTCTGTTCTTTTGAGCATTCATTTTGAATCCAGGGTTGACAGTTTCTAGTGTGTTGATTTCTTTTACAAGAAAATTGAGCCAACTTTACATTTATTTATTAAAATGAATCTACAGGAGGAAAAAAATTGATTTTCTTCTTTTTATGGGGGAGATTTTTTTTTTTTTTTTGAGACAGGGTTTCTTTGTAGCTTTGGGGCCTGTTCTGGAACTAGCTCTTGTAGACACAGAGATCTGCCTGTCTTTGCCTCCCAAGTACTGGGATTAAAGGCATGCTCCACCACTGCCCAGCTCTGATTTTCTTCTTGTAATATTGTTAAAGCAGAAAACACAACTTTGTTAGGAAAAACCAATATATTCTGACATAGAGCATTATTAGCTTAAGTTTAAAGCGGATTTCTAGCTTATACTCAAAGGAGGCATCATTTTGAACAAGGAAGAGTTGAATTGAAGAATCCTGTGCTTCCGAGAGATCACACAGTCTCCAACATTGGCGCACTGTCTCATCAGGGACTTTGTAATTCTCTCTTCCAGTTTCTGCTTTCCAGAGAGAATGTGGGTGTCCTTAGGTGTTCAGATCAGGCAGCAGGCAAACTCACAAGGAAACCTTAAGGGAGTAGTAGGCTAGGAAGCCTGTGGCTAAGACTCCAGCTGTCACAGAAAGGTGAAGAAAATATGTGTGTTTCATTTCTAATCTCTGCTCATTATATTTATGAAAAAACAGCTTTTGTTACGTAACAGGAGCTCATATGTTTCTTTAAAAATTGATCAGAGGGTTATAGTTAGAATTTAGTGCAGGAAAACCATCAGTACCACTTGCTCAAACCCTAGCCCCAAGCCAAGAAGCCTGACATTTTCATTAGTCTGTGCCATTTCATTTTAGGAACAGGTAAACTTTTCTTTACATAGATCAAGACTGAAGGTGGGTGTTCAGCTCCCCTTTGTTGTGTTTGCACTCAGGCAAGGATTAAAATTGTGCACCACCACATTTGGCCTTTCTTCAATTATTTTATTTATATATACAAGTATATATTTGTTTTTTAATGTATCTTCTTATTTTGGTATTATTTTTAATTGTAATTGTTATCTTTTATTTTTGAGATTAATTATATCATTTCCCCCTTGTCATTCTTTCTTCCAGCTCCTCCATGTATCCCCTTACTCTCTTTGAAATTCATGACCTCTTTTTCTTTCATTTACACACACACACATGTATATATACACATATGTATGTATATATGTACGTATGTATAATTTCCTCTTAAATATATAAATACAAGATGCTTAGACTGTATAATGTTATGTGTATGTTTTCAGGGCTGGCCACGTGGAATTGGGTAACTGATCGATGTGCTTTTTCCTGAGGAAGACCATTTCTCTTGCTCTCAGCATTCCTAGGTTGCCTGTAGTTCTTTGTTTAGGATTAAAGCCTAAAGAACTTCCCCCTTCCATGTCAGCTGTCAATTGGTGTTACCCTTGCTCAGATCATGTTTAGGCAATCATGTTAAGTCAGACTTTATGGGTTAGCTTCTCTGACGTTTCTAGGAGACAAAATCTCATAGCAAACTTCCTGTGCCTCTGGCTCTTAACAATCTTTCCCCACTTCTTCCGAAATAATTCCTGAGCCTCAGGTGTAGGAGTTGTGTTGTGGATAAATATCAGTTGGAACTGGACTTTCCAGCTGTGCATTTTGAGCAACTGTGGTTTTCTGTAATGCTGAGAAATTTTCTTGATTGAAGAGTGAGGATTACACTTGCCTGTGGATAGAAGGGTAAATGCTTAGATGTAACTAGGGATTATGCTTGATTAGTAAAGTGGTGATTATAGATTCTCCTTTAAGGGCCATGACTTTACTAGCCCTGGGTTAACTGGGTTTCCAGCACCAGGAATGATTTCCCTATTGTTGAGTGGGTATTTAGTCCAATTCTATAGTTGTTGGTTACTGCCCAACCACCTGTGCCAGTACTGTATCCTTCGGGTTACTATGCCATGCTGGTTACTATGGTTCCTAACTGGATAGGACTGTTGTTTGCTTTCTTCCTTTGTGAGTCTTCATGGTGCCTTCTTATGCCATGGAAGTTAGTCCTCAGGGAGGAAGATTTCATGTCTGATCCTACTGGGTTCTCTGGGTCCTGTGTCTGAAGAACGTGGTATCTTCAACAATAGGGATTTATTTCTCTTTCACCTCTGCAGGTAACAGCTGTAGCATGTATATTGTATTAGGAGTCTCTTAGACAACCTTGAACAGTAACTCAAAAGAGTGCTTCTCATGCCTAGTGCTGGTGTTTCATTGTTAGATAGTCTACAATGGTCCTTGTGGGGATCGTTGGCAGCCCAGATGGAAATTTCATTTACATTATTTCAGTGTATGTATTTGCAAACTTACATATATTATGTATTTAGTTGTTTAGTGGTGTTTCTGTGGCCAAGAGTATGTATGTAATCAGAATCTATTTAAGATTTATCTAACTAAATTTCAGTGATACCGAGAAACATCAACATAGCCCTACATTTCCCCTCCCCTTTTCAGTTTTCATTCTCATACATATGTGTCAATGTTTAATAATTTGAAAGATACCTTGTTAAATTGTGTGTGTGCGTGTTTTTACAATTCCAAGAGAAGAAAAGGGACAGACATATAGTTTAATTTCCCCTTGTGGGGATATCCACGACGTTGAGCATGCTAGGTTGTGCTCTGCCAAGCTACACTCCTGCCCAGCCCTCTCTTTCTATTCCCATACTCTTCAGCTCCCTGATGCTTTCTGTGACTACCTGCCTTTTGTGTGCTTACTGTCAACACATAGTGTATTTCTGTATGCTGTAGCTTGACATTATTTTATACAATTGCTCTTTAAATTAGTTGAGAGGAGGAAGAAAAGGAAACAGCTATGTTCTGCCTTTTGTAACCATCTACAGGGTTACAGTTTCAGCAACACTATGGATTTACATTGCTATATAGTGATATTTGGTTTGGAAGAATGTTCCTTAGTATTTCTGGTCAGTTATTTTGATAGTAGGAAATTCTCTCAGGTTTGTTTATCTGTGAATGTCTTTATTTTCCCTCTGTTTTGAAAGTTTTGCTCGATGTAAGGTCAGTCCCCACCACCATACTGAACTTCCCTCCTCTTACTGATGAGAAGTTATCTGTTTATTGTTAGTGTCCCTTTGTAAATATGGCTGGTTTCCTTTTCCTCTTCTCAAGGTTTCATTTTTGTCTTTGATTTTGAGCATTTTGACTGTGATATGTCTAGGTGCACATTTTAGTATATATCTTAACTTGAAATTCATTGTATTTATATGTGTTTTTAATCAGGGAAAGACATATTTTAGCCACCATTTCCTTGGACATTTTTATTAGGATGTATTAATTGTAAAGAGTAACCGGTTTCCTCATGCATGTGTATTAAGTGTTTTGGTCATGTTTACCCCTTTTCCTTTTCTTACTTCTCCTGATAATCATCCTTCTACATCCGCACCATTTCTTATCTCCTAGATTTTACATGTCCACAACAACAGACCATTCATTTGTCTTTGTGAAATTGGCTTATTTCACCTTTAATATGATGATCTAGTTCTTTCATTTTCTGCCCCCTAGCCCTCTATTTTTTTCCCTTTAATGGCTGAATAAAACTCAATTTTTGGTACGCATATATACAAACACACACATATTGTGTGTTTGTTTTTATTTCTCTGTATAGTTGTGGCTGTCCTGGAACTTGTTCTATAGACCGGGCTGGTCTTGAACTCACAGAGATCCGCCTACCTCTGCCTGCCAAATTCTGAGATTAAATGTGTCTGCCACCATGGCCAGCCTGATTTTCTTTGATTATGTTTAATTGTTTTCCTTCTCTCTATCTGATTTTCTTTAATATTAGAACATGTTGGAGCTTAGCGATGTCTCTGGTAATTTTTCTTCAGTGACTTTCCTCACTTTATGTTGTATTCTCTAACTTACCTTTTTGTTTGATGAGCTCTTCTGTCAGCACAGACCTGTTGAATCCTGCTAGTATCTTTTTTCATGTCAGTTATCTTAGTTTTAGTTCTTTGGGGCATGAATTGTGATCCAACTGAAGTTGCTGTTTTTTTTTTTTTTGGCAGTGTTGCCACTTTCTGAGCTTACTTTTAAAAATTTTATTTATTAAGTGTCTGTCAGCCACCCAGGATTGGTGCTTGGAAACAAACTTGGGTGTTCTGGAAGACTAGAAAGTACCGTTAGCTGCTGAACCATCTCCCCAGCCTCCAGGAGGAATCTTCTGCTTTTAGACCAAGGGAAGTTGGGATCCACTGATGCTCACTGGCCACCAAGTGTGCAAAGGACAGGGTTTGTCCTGGGAAGGACCGCACTCTTCCCCTGCTGTCTTCTTCAGACCTCCCTGTGCTGTAGGAGATAGGGACAGGGGTTCAGGTCTACCCAGCTGCCGCCACCTGCTCAGTACAGTCCTTTTGCAGTAGGGAACTGTGGAAAATAGAGTCCATCAGTGTTTACCAGTTACTGAAGCCTCCTGTAATAGCTTCTTCAACATACGGATTGGAGGGAGATGGAAATTGGCTGCTGAAGCAGTTCTGGAAGCAGTCCCCAGTGTGGTTGCCCAGCCTCGCCTTCTTCTTACTGAGGGGCTGCAGATTTCATTAAATAGATGTTTCCCTCTTGCTTGTAAGCTCTTGGATCAATCTCTAGGGTCTTTGCTGAGTTTGGCTAGGCTATAACAGTTCTATTGGGAGGCAGTTTTCATTTTGTTACCATTTTATCCTACTTAGAATGTAGGAACAGAGGGATAGGGTGGGGCAGTGGTTAGGTTGTTGCTTCATGGTAGAGACTGTTGGGGTTTTACAACAGAACATCTTCTGTGTTTCATTTACCCCATATCTGTCCATACAGGCAAAGCCATGCTTCTCATATTCCTTATTGCAGTAGACATTGTAACTTCAAATAAAAATTGTTAGTAAATACTGAATAAATATAGTTAAAAGACGTCATTTAAAATTTCTACTTCAGCTATATGACATTAGAGTATTGCCTGATTTTGGATTGACCTTGCCAAATAGACAGATGGACATGTGGAAGGAAGGAAGGAAGGAAGGAAGGAAGGAAGGGAGGGAGGGAGGGAGGGAGGGAGGGAGGGAGGGAGGGAGGAAGGAAGGGAGAAAGGAAGGAAAGAAAGATGGGTGGATGGATGGATAGATAGAAGGATAAATGGGAAGAAAGAATGAAAGATACTTGCCAGATAGATAGACAGACAGATAGTAGGTAAGTAGATAAGTATATAGGTAGGTAGATAGACAGATATGATTATTTTCTAAGTAATAATCTATTTTTTGATCAATTCATTGAGATAATGTAGACAAACTATACTAAAAACCCTATATAACCTGGCAAGTAGGGGCCCAGCAACTTGCTGTATAAAATCTATAGAAAATTTCATGTGATGGCTTTGCTGAACTTGTACCACAGTAGGGAGCAGATTCTGAAAGTTTCTTTGAAATTTGTCTTAATCCCAGCTGAGGTTTGTGTCACATAACAACTGTTGGAAATGCCCTACTTAGTTGTATCAGTAGGTCACAACGGGGACAGTACCAGGTCTTGTCCTCCTGGGACTCAGTGGAATCTTCTGGTTGGTTGGGTAGTTTCTTGGCTTGCTCTAGAGTAGACTGAGAAGCACCAGAGTGGTGTGGACTTGCTTCCCTGCTTTCCCTACATTCTTGATTCTACCCTGTTTTTCTGTGACACTCCAGCTCTTTACTTTAAGAATGGGACATGTGGAAAATATAGCCACTTGCTCAGCACATTTTCTTGTTTTCAATGTTTCCTAGTCACAATATTATAGGATTTTGTTGTAAGGAGGCATCTTGTTCATTTCCCGGCTCCATACTACCGAAATAATCACACAGAAACAGTATTAATTAAATCACTGCTTGGCCCATTAGCTCTAGCTTCTTATTTGCTAACTCTTACATCTTAATTTAACCCATCTTCATTAATCTGTTCATCACCATGAGGTCATGGCCTACCAGCAAAGTTTCAGCACGTCTGTCTTCAGCGGTGGCTTTATGGCTTCTCCCTGATTCTGCTTCCTTTCTCCCAGCATTCAGTTTAGTTTTCCCTGCCCAGCTCTGCTCTACCCTATTATAGGCCCAAAAGAACTTAATAACCAACAGTATTCACAGCATACTGGGGGGAATCTCACATCAGGATTTTACTGTTTGAAATGTGAATGCAATGTTACCTTTCTTACTATGTTTGTGTCAGGAATGCTCTATTCTCTTTAGTGGATTGGTTTCTAAATGGCATTTGCTAAAATGCAGCCATGTAATAGTCTGCTTCAGTTACCATATTCTTTGCTCAAACCCCAGTGGTAATTTTAACAAGTATGTTTGTTTAAAGGTATTTGAAGTCGTGGAACGTGTAGAGGAGCTAAGAAGGAAGTGGCCAGTAGCATGGGGGAAGTTAGATGACGGCAGTATTGGTGTGGTGACTCCATATGCTGATCAGGTGTTTAGGATACGTGCTGAACTTCGGAAAAAGAGACTATCTGATGTGAATGTAGAAAGGGTGCTAAATGTTCAAGGTAAGTGTTAACTGTAATGAACCACATTATTCAAATGTCTTAAAGTGTGTCCAGATTGGAATTTTTAATTCTATTAAATAATCTTAGACCTTTAAGAACTATGATATAAAGAAAGAAAGAAAAGAAATTTCCTTACTCTTTTGGGCCAGCAATGATATATTGATTTCCTGCCAAACTCTTTAATACTAAATTTGCATGTTTATTAAAATTGCAATACCAAATAAAAATAGTAATAACAAATTGAATTTTCTATCACTACAGTTATATGATGTCACAGATATCTACGATATAACAATATACAACATAATACATTCTGTTGTACTGTATTTGGGAACTAATTTGAAATATTTTATCTGTAGACCTCCTTAAGCCAGCAAGTGTGTTTTTACTATTCATGAAATGAGTTATTATAAACTTTGTGCCTTTAAATACATGAAGCAGTGTGATAAAGTGAGCACTAGAAAAGCCCCAGAGATGTACATGATGCGACAGGAAGGGTCATCCAGTGTCTGGATCATGGGGAGCAAGGGCTCCCTTCTACCCCCATTCATGGCACACTCAATTGGGTATTTCAGTAATGAACACAAATGCTCACAGGGTAAATGTAGGTCAACTGATGCTCTATTCTGTGTCCACATGAATGAGGAGCAGATGAAGATGAAGGGCTAGAGAAGAGAAAACTGAACCTGATATTAGCACCGTTGTCAAATGCTTGGATCCCTAACTCCATCAGGCTTCTTTGTGACATCAGCCTTGTCTGTCCTGTCTGGTAGGAGAGTAAATGGCCCTGCTTCCAGGAAGAAGCTTCTTGTGTAGGGTGGATGTTTGGCTAGATAATCTCAAAGATTGGTCTCAGCAGTAATGATTAGGAGAAAACATTAAGCTAGGGTGGTGGTACATACCTGTGATCTGAGCATTCAAAAGGCTGAGACAGACGGATCATCAGGAGTTTCACAGCAGCCTGGACTACACAGTGGATTTAGGGCCAACCTTGACAATTTAGCAAGATTCTGTTTTTAAAAGCAAAACAATTATCATAATAACTTTTTTGGTGTGGTAAAATACCAATAAAAAACTTAAGCATTTTGAGCATTTTCATGAGAGCAGTTCAGTGGCAAGCGGTACCTTCATTCCTGTGGTATATCACCACAGCTATCACCACCACCCATCACTAGAGCTGTCTGTCTTCCCAAACTGAGGCCCTGCGCCCATTAAGACTTCCCATTCTTCTCCAGTCCTCAGCCAGCACTATTCTGTTCTCCCTTCTCTCTCTGAATTTCCCTACTTTACGGCCTCATCTAATCAGACTAAGATAGTGCAGCTTGAATAGCTCTTGCTCACAGGGCTTGGGGCAGGCGTACTTTAGATCTCACAGCTGTCCTCTAATTTAGGGCTTTAAAAAGCTCACATTGTAGCTGTCCTTCTGTGAGTAGGTTTAGTTCACTTAACACAGTGCCTCTGAGGTTCATTCATGTTGTAGCATGTGTCAGCCAAGTAACTTACTGTGTGTAATTACACCAGTGTGTTTGTGGACACTGGGTCACACTTTTTGGCATCGTGAGCAAGGCTTCAGTGAGCATGGGTGCAAAGTTCTCATGGAGACCTTGCTTGCAGGGTGGGGGTTTTCTCTGAGGTGGTCTTGCTGGATCAGATGGGCACTCTGTCATTTTCCAGAGCAGCCGCACGTCTCACAGCTGTGCGCAGGTTGGGAGTCCTCACGTCTCGCCAGCACTTGTGCTTCAGCAATCATGACTTTAAAGATGTGGGATTTATTCTGTCAGAGATTCGGTGATGATCTCGCCTTTTTTTCCAATTTTTTGTAGGAAAGCAATTCAGAGTTCTGTTTCTTAGCACAGTGCGTACACGCCACACTTGCAAGCATAAGCAGACGCCAATTAAAAAGAAAGAGCAACTTCTGGAAGATTCCACTGAGGACTTAGATTATGGTTTTTTATCTAACTACAAACTTCTCAATACTGCCATCACAAGAGCACAGTCCTTGGTTGCTGTGGTGGGAGACCCAATTGCTCTGTGCTCTGTCGGAAGGTGTAGGTAAGTCTGTGTTACTGAACTGAGAGACTCAAAATGGGAAATATGGAGGAATTTGCACCCTTATGCATGTATTTATCTGTATGGCTTCATGGTGAATTAAAATTAGGCTTACTGATAATGTTACCTGACACCCAGTATTAGTGAGAGATATTTTATTTAGTGCCTGTTCATGGTATATGTGTAACTGTAGATTCAGTCAGCCAGTAGCCAGCAGATACTCCCCATGTCTGTGTTCTCTGCACTCCTCTAGCTGAAGACAGTCGGTGAGCAAAGACACATCTGTCTCTGTGGTGCTTACACTTTATTTGGTAGGAAATGAGGGCTGACAACAAACTAAATAAGATCATTGCATAGTATTTACTAAATAAATTAATACAAAAAATGAGAGCATGGGGAGCTTTTAGGAGTGACAGGTGAGATAAAGTGGTTTGGGACCAGAAAGGATGTGGTCAGAGGAGCCTCCCCACCAAGCTGACTCAGATGACTTTGGAAGTGCCAGGGTGAGCTTTGCATACCAGCAGCTGAAGTGCTGTAGGAAGAGGGGCCAGCTGGTGCCAGAACCCTGAGGTGGGGTATGTGTGTGTGTGTATCTTTGGACAAGTTTAAATTTTTTACTGTCTACTGCCTTTTGTCTTCTCCTTGCTTCATTGTTTTCATTTCTTAAAAACTTAATTTTATTATTAAATTTATTTTTTACAATTTAATACATGTTTATAATATAGTCTAATAAAACTCAGTTCCAAGTTTTGATGAATTTTGTAGTCATTTTCTTTTAAGGCTTTTGTTTGTTTGTTCATTTGTATCAAGACAGAGTTTCTCTGTGTATCCCTGACTGTCCTGGAACTTGCTCTGTAGGTCAGGCTGGCCTAGAACTCACAGAGATCCTTCTCCTTCTGCTTCTTGAGTGCTAGGATTAAAGGTATGCACAGTCATGTCCTTTGCAGGGCTTCTTAATTTAAATAATTTTCATGTCTGGTTAAAATTAAGATACCTTAAAATTAAGGGAATAGAAGTAAGTGACCATAACTTGTTTTAGGGTAATTTTATTATTCATTATGCTATAAGTAAGAACAATGGTTCTACTAAAATATAGCTGAAATACCATCTAGACATTTTCTGTACAGTTGTGATCTTGACCAGTTAAGAATGTAAACTGTATGAAGCCAGGACTGTAAGATTCAACTTTTGCAGCATTGAAAAACTGCTAAAAAATAATTTTGAAAGAAATTTATAATATTCTGTTATGAAAAAGAGAGAAATATGCTGGAAGGCTAATTGCATTTTATAGGTGTGACAAAACCTGCCTATAAATTCAGAATGGTAAAAAGAAGTCAGGCAGTCACTAAGCTGCCCTGGCACTTTTTTTTTCTTTCTTGTAGTCTATCTTATAATTCATTTTTATTTTAAATTATGCATATGTGTATATTTGTGTATGGGTATTTGCCTGTGAGGGCAGGTGTCTGGAGTTACAGGTGGTTATGAGTCACCTGACACGGGTGCTGGGAACCACACTCATATCCTTTGGGAGAACAGCGAGTGTTTTTTGTTTGGTTTGGTTTGGTTTTTTCGAGGCAGGGTGTCTCTGTGTAATAGGCTGTCTTGGAACTCACTCTGCCTCTGCCTCCTGAGTGCTGGGATTAAAGACATGCACCACCATCACTGCCCAGCAAGTGCTCTTAGCCACTGAGCTGTGACTGCAGCCTCTGCACCTATGCTTGAGATAGGAATCTCTCATTGAACCTGGAGCTCACCAGTTTGCTAGTCTGACTGGTTAGGACCCTGCCTGCCCAACTCCACCTTTGTCCTCTCGCCCCCACTCCTCAGCACTGGGATTACAGGCCTGGACCTCCATACTGAACCATCCTTAGCCCCGAGTCATTCATTCAGCTCCAAATTAGTAGAATCTTCTATAGGGGAAAGCTGCTAACAAAAGAATCCACTTTTTTTTTTTTTTTTTTTTTTTTGCTTTGTTTTTTAGGGTTTTGCTGTAGTTTTAGAGCCTGTCCTGGAACTAGCTCTTGTAGACCTGGCTGGCCTCGAACTCACAGAGATCCGCCTGCCTTTGCCTCCGGAGTGCCGAGATTAAAGGTGTGCGCCACCACTGCCCAGCCAACCTTATCTTTTTAAAAGTAAAGCTCATAGGTTTCATAGCTCACCTATGAGCAGTTCTGTGGTCACATGACATCACTTTTATGTCTAAAAATTTGTCATTTGTTTATAATCATTAATGACAAAATCTGGATAAAGGAATGTATGATATATGTGTGGGCTTTAATACTACAGCACATGTACAGATGTCCACAGGTAACTGTGTAGTTTGGTCTCCCCTTCCACCTTTACATGAGCTCCAGGGATTCCACTTGGATTATCATGTTGACATAGCCAGCACTTTGACTGACTAAGCCATCTCACCAGTCAAGGCCAAGAATATGAATGAGTCTCCTGATTTTATTCATATCCTGAGAATTTTGCTTTAGTTCCTCAACTGTCTATCCAAAGCGTGTTGGTTAGAATGTTGCAGTCTCTTGCCATTTGTGTTTATGATTAAATAATATAGAATGGGAGGATGTGTATGCAAACCGTTCTGTACTCTTAGGGGGATGAATGGCAGAGTAGCATGGAACCACATTACTGTGGGCTCTCCTAGTAAGTAATTCTGAGTATTTAGCAGCCTGAATGTTGTTGAAGAAGCTGTATTACATTTTCTGTGGCCACACTGAACAGCACAGAATTGGTAGTTTTAGTCTTTATCTGATATGAACTGTCACTTTCTCCAAGCAGATTGATAAAGAATTCTTCCTGGGGCCTGCTGTCAAGTTGCACAGGGCTAATTTTTAACTTTAGGCTGAGTCTACTGATGGCTCATTTTGAACTGAATCTCGGTTACCAAGGACTGCAAATAATTCATGTGCTAAGCCAGCTGTTTGCAGGGGAGTAATACAGTGTTCAGTAGAGGGAGAGATTACACGGTGAGAATGTTGATTGCCTCTTTCATTTGGATAGTTTAATTCATGGTTCCAGCTCAAGAGTTGGTAGTAAAAATATCAGTAATAATAACTTTGCCAACCAACTAATACAGCTAACATTACAGGCCAAGTCCAGGGGATGTGCTGTGACTCCCTAATCCTGTGAGAATGGAGAAGTGGATTCTGTGTAGTTTGACCTCTTCAGCACCCTCCCACTTTGCGTGCTGTTTATTAGAAAGTAACATGCTTGTCTCAGGTGTTACTGGTTTTCAGGAAAGGATTCCTGTGTATTACACCAGCTTGATCTATTGTTTTTGTTGTTGTTATTTTGAACAGAATTTGTCCATTAGACTGAAATAGATACAACGAACTTCTTCCTCCCCACTAGCAAATATTAATCCAGCAGCTGCTCTTGTCCGCCACCTCTGTCAGGTGCTGCCTTGTGTACTCTGCACACATTGCCCCATTTAGTCAAACCAACCAACAACCGAACAGCAAGCCACTTTCCTTTCATTTTGAATGGGCAGCCTGATGGAGTGAGTTTAAGTAAAACTACTCAAGGCTTCATGTGGTTCATGAAAACAGTGTCAGAAATGACTTCAGAACTCGGGCCCTTCTCAGACATCCACCTTGCCCATGAAGAAATGACATGTTTTGCACATGACAAATCTGTGCCAAGTGGCAGGGTGGTAACACAATGGTGACGTTGTTCCACATCCCAGCCTTGGAGGAATTCTTTCTTACAACTGGATTCCATCATTAACACATTTCATTAACTTGGTAAATAGCAACATATTTAATGCACATGTAGACTGTGACCCAAGGACAGCGAGGGAATACTTATTTGGTGTATTTATGTGTGCACACATGTATGAGTTTTGGACTTGTGTGAGTTTGTGTGCATGTATGTGTGTTTCTGTTTCTCTATGTGTATCTTGGTGTGTGTGTGTGTTCACATGACTTTTCAGGTTTTACCAGTGATTGTAGAACCAAAGCTAACACAAAGTCCAAAGCATATTTAGTTTGGTTCGTGCTTCCTTTACTTATTACAAGTCATGTTCAGCTGGAGAGGTTGTCTCAGCCAGGAAGGTGCTTGCCACAGAGGCATGAGGACCTGAGTCCAATTTCCAGGCCTCCCCCAAACCCCAAATAAATCCAGGTGCTCCAGATGCTGGCCAGTGAGAGAGACCCTGTCTTAAAAAACAACAGCAAAGCAAGGTTGACTACTCCTGCCGTTGACCTCTGACCTCCATTCCTTTGCCCTCACTCACATACACAAAACGTAGCATATGTCTTCTCAGATCCAGGAAATTAAGTAGCAGTGCATAGACGTAAGTGGCTTTCTAGCTAACATTTCTCTTTAAAAAATGGTCAGCGTAATAAGAGATTGCCATAGTAGGGAGACTGCCAAGAATGGTGAAGCCTTTACCTACAGTGGTGAGTTCTCATCCCCAGAGTACGGTTGAAATTCTCACATGCGCTTCTACTTCCTGTGTTGGAAATGCCTGATGGGCGAAGGAAAGAGCTGACCCCACAAGTTGTCCTTTGACCTCCACTCATATGCCATGGCCCGCACTCATACACAGTCAAAGTGTAATACTTTATTTTAAAGAGCTTTTATGGAGAAGAAAACTCAAAATACTTTTAGCTTTAAAACTAAGAATTTTGAGAACAGGCAAGATAGCTCAGTAGTAAAGGCCTTTGCCATATAAGCCTAGAGACTCATGTAAAGGGGAGAGCCAGTGTCACAAAGTCCTCTGGCTTCGACATACACGTCATAGAATGTGCTCCCACTAAAAAGCCAGGACTTACTTTGTAGGAAGTAGTACACACTTACTTACCTGAGCTGTACGAGAACCTGGGTGGCTCTCCAGCACCTCCATTCGCTGTGTTTTTCTCTGAAAGTTTAGAAGTGAGAAGCTTGAGAAACATGATGAGGAATGATAGTCATAGTGTTTGTTCTGTGCACGGGGAAGCCAGTACAAAAGAGAAACGTTCCAGAAGTCACTGCACATTGCAGCTACTGGGACAGAACCAGGGCCTTTTGCTCTGTCCATGGGACCTGAAGATAAGTCAGGTCTGGAATATAAATTCCATCTTTTGAAACTCGATTTATTTATAGTGTTTCGAATGCTTCTGACATGGTGTTCTTTAAGCCAGGTGTGGTGGCTTCTGCCTGTAATCTTAGCAATTAGAAGGTTGAGGCAGTAAGATTGTTGTGAGTTCCAGGCCAGCTTGGGCTAGAGAGTGAGACACTGTCTTAAACAACTACAGCAGTAATAGCAAAAAGACACCCCCCCCCAAAAAAAAGATGAAAAACATCCTATAGCTGAAAGATTATTTGATTATGATCTCTGGGGTTAATGAACCATTTTCCATGAAATGTGAGGTTCTTTGACATTTTTGCTTAATTCAGTGTTGTTTCAGCTCCTACTCAAAGCTGAGGTCCATATGGGTATGGGATGTGAAATTTAAGAAGGTAGCTTAAGGGGCTGGAGAGGTGGCTCATCGGATAAAAGCACCAGCTGCTCTTCTAGAGGGCCTGCGTTTGATTCCCAGCACCCATGTGGCAGCTCACAGCTGTCTGTAACACCAGTCCCAGGGGATCTGATGCCCCTTCTGGCTTCTGTGGGCACCCAGAACAGATATATATGTAGGCAAAACACCCATACCTACAAACTAATAAAATTATCAAGACATCTTAAAATAGCATATTCTAAGAACATCGCACTGTTTAAACTGGAAGTGAAACTATGTAAAGTGGAGCTGATATTACAGATTAAGCCAGGCAGAATAACAAAGAATCCACTGGGTCTGGGGAGATGGCTCAGTGGTTAAGAGTGCTTGCTGCTCTTCCAGGGGACCAGAGTTCAGCTCCCAGCACCCATGTCAGGCAGCCCATAACTTCCTATAACTTCAGCTCTAGGGGATCCATCATCTCTTCTGGCCTCTCTGGGCATTTGAACACATGTGGCATGCGCGCGTGCACACACACACACATACACACACACACACAAATCATGAGATGGATGTGGTAACCCACACCTTTAATCTCAGTACTCACATCTCTGAGTCCCAGGCAAATTTGGTCAACATAGTAAGTTCCAGGCTAGCTAGGGATAGGTAGAGCCTGTCTGAAGTAAATAAATTCCTTGTATTTTGTCTTGAAGTACAACACAAATTGAAATGCCAAGCTATGAAACTGATGCTTTATCAATCAGACCTGAAATTTTTTCTTTTGAATATTGTATAGTGGAGCTGTGTTGGTATTTGAATGTTGTAAAAGGTCTATGGAGGGGGGCTGGAGAGATGGCTCAGAGGTTAAGAGCACTGACTGATCTTAAGGAGGTCCTGAGTTCAATTCCCAGCAACCACATGGTGGCTCACAACCATCTGTAATGAGATCTGGTGGCCTCTTCTGGCCTGCAGGCATGCAAGGAGGCTGAATACTGTGTATACAATAAATAAAAAAATCTTTTTTTTTTTTTTAAAAAAGGTCTATGGAGTTTTAGATCATACTACTGTATTGGAGATAATCCTTTCTTAGGTTTTCTTCTATCATTACAACAAAGAATTCTATTTATTTTTTAGGTGGAGAATGGTAGAGGAGGTCTTCCAGAGTCCTTCTCTGGCCTCCACATGTATACAGGGACTTGGACATACATGCACACACACTACACACCACACATGTACACTCAAGCACATAAACATATGCGCAAACTTGATTCATTTAGGAAGATTCTGTCTTAGCTACTTTTCTATTGCTGTGCTAAGTCAACCATAACCAAGACAGCTTATAAAGAATTAATTTGGGTTTCACAGCTCCAGAGGAGTAGAGTTCATGAATATCATGGTGGGAAGTCTGGCTGTACGCAAGCATGGCATTGGAACAGTAGTGGGGAACTTACATCTTGATTCACAGCAGGAGGCAGGGCCTTTGGAATATCAATACTCATTTGCATTGGGATACCTTCTAATTATTTCTGAACAGTTCTACCAAGTGGGCTATATGTATTTAAATCATTTTACATTTTGTTCTTAAAACAAAAAATGAAGGATAACTTTTCGGTGTGCATTTCTAGCAGAACATAGTTCCTGTAACCAAATGATTATCTTCCTAGCCCGTGTGACATGCTCAGAAGTCCCCAAGTGTGGATGTCTTACTTTCCCTTTTCTTTATACTTTGGATTATTTGCCTAGACCTATCTCTTAAACTCATCTTTAAAAAATAAGACTAAAGGCCCAGCATGGTGCTTAGCAAGTAAAAGCATTTGGTGTGCAAGCTTGACAACCTTACTTTGACCATCAGAACTCATGATAGAAAGAGAACTAATTGGGGTTGTCTTCTGATCTCCATATACACACAGCTACATGTGCCTGTACTTAACCACATGCATCCACAAATATGATGGTAAAACACAGCTGTAAAGAAACACAGTTCAGAATTAATTGCATTTAAAACTGTCGTCACCCATACCTGCTCATGCGTTAACTTTTTATCATAAACTTATCCCTGATGCCTTCTTGATTACTTAATGTCCATCTGGTCGTTGGGATGCTAACTGGGGAAGAAACCATATCACATGTCTTCAACGGCATAATCTATTATTCTAACCTCATAGGTCCACGTTTTTATACTAATAGTCAATCATGTTAAACTTTCTTCATGTTGCTTTTGGTAATATTTATTTCACGTTTGGAGATTCATTCCCAAACCTTTAATAGCATACAACTGTGACCAGTGTGCCTTTTTGTTTTTGTTTTGTATGTTATAGATTTGTTTATTTTATGTTTAGCACCCAGGAGTATTTCTCACTTTTGTATATTTTCCTTTTCTTCTTTAAGTTAGCATATGAAGTCATGGGTCTCATGGCATGTGTGTGTGTGTATGTGTTAGTCCCTTTAGTAACAGTTCCTTGTGTTGTGGTGACCCCCAATCACAATATTATTTTTGTTGCTACTTCATAACTATAATTTTGCTATTGATATGAATAATAATGTAAATATCTGTTTTTAATGTATTTTTTCTTTTCTGTATTTACAGATTTGATAAGTATTTACAGATTTGAATAGTGGACATTGCAATTTTTTCAGTTCCTTCCTTGTATTTTCTGTAATTTATTTAGCTCTTACTACTTGGTCAATATTCTAAGTTGTGGTTATGACAAGTATCTCTAAGAGAAAACTATATGAGTAGCTGATTATTTTCGAGAATCCTCATGTGGATTATCTCCTTCATGGCTCCAGTTTATGTTCTGACTGAATCGTTTTACGTAACCTAGCATATCTAGGTTCTTTTGTGCTGTGTATGTTTGTGTCTGAGTGTGTGCATGTGTGTGTGAGAGTGAGTGCATTGTATATGCATTTCCATATGTAAGCATATCTGTGGAAGTGGACGTCAGAGCATCTTCCTTACTCTCCACTCTATTATTTTAGATCTCTTTCTATTTTTGTGTCTGTATATTTGGGCCACATGTGTGTGGGTGTCCATAGAGGCCAAAAGACAGGTCGCCAGGAGCTGGAGTTGCAAGCTCTTGTGCCAGCTGATGTGGGTGATAGAAACGAAAGTTGGGTCAAGTGCTCTTCTATTTATTCCATCTTATTTCCTTGAGATGGGAACCTCTCACTGAACGTGGGGCTTCAGTGGAATCCTTTTGGGGTATAGGTACTATACCCTAACCTTTTTGTGTGGGTATTGTCTTTCAGAACTCAAGTCTTCATGCTTTACAGCAAGTGTTTTGCCAACTGAGCCATCTCCCTAGTCCCACACAAAATTCTTTACAATTATACTAATAAGCATATACGTTTGTATTCTCTATATATATAGTATATAGATACAATCACTCATTACTTATTGATGAGTTCTGAGAAAGGCAATTTTGAGCGATAGCCTCATCAAATGACTATCATAGTAGATATCCACACAGACTAGGACAGCCATGACATTGTCCACTGTTTTATATATACATTGTGGTATTGGCCAAATGTACAGAGCATAAATGTTCATAGATGTGTATATTTACATGTTTCACTAGAAGTACACGGTACATGTGTACATGTGTGTATAGGACTAGAAGTACAGATTTTCTATAGATTCTTGAAAACCTTATTATATGGCTCACAAACACATTTCTATAATAGGGTGGAGGAGTCAAGTTTTTTGTTTTCGTGTTTTGTATATACCATGCTCCTCGACTGACTACAGTGTGCGCATCAAACATAAGATTTGTCACTTGCTAGAAAGAGTCTATGTCATACTCATATGAATATTAACCTTAAGCACTTGAGGTGGGCAGAATTTGAAATCATCTTTAGTTACTTCTATTCACACACGGGCATTTGTAACCCAAATTTCTGAATCTTTTCTGCAGGAAGTTTTGGGAGAGATTTATTGCCCTGTGTCATGAAAATCATAGTCTACACGGGATCACATTTGAACAGATCAAGGCCCAGCTAGAGGCTTTAGAACTCAAGAAGACATATGTATTGAATCCACTGGCTCCTGAATTTATCCCTCGGGCTTTACGACTGCAGCACTCAGGAAACAGCAGCAAACAGCAGCAGTCACCACCCAAGGTAAAGCCCTGCTGTACACTGGCTTGTTGGGCTGCAGGTAATGTTTATATTTGCAAGGAACGTTCCCAAGATTTGGGTGAACAAATGAGAACACAGCATGGTGGGGAGCCATGCTTAATGTTGTAGTCATCCTCGGAAATAGTGCGATAGCTGAAGAGTTCTGGCACCCTTCCTTTAACCTCCCAGCACTCCCTGCTGATAGACTTGAGGCTGGCAGATAACATGGGAATAAAAACACAGCTTAAAGGGTTACTACACATTTTATTTTGATTTAAAAAATCTGAAAACACTTATTAATTTGATTTGCTTAGAGTGTGTGTATTTGTGTGTGTTTGTGTGTGTGTGTCCGTCCCATGCATAGATGAGGCAGTCAGAGGGTAACTTGATGGAGTCAGTTCTTTCAGCAAATTCCTTCACTTGCTGAGCCATCTTGCCAGCCCCAATGAGACGTTTAAAAGCATGTCCATAACAAGCTGCTAGGTACAGAAATTACGTTCTGAAATTATGTTTGAATAAGAAAATTGTTCTAATCTTTTAAGTGGCATTTGACAGAGTTGAGACAACTTGCTGGATTCTTGAAGATGAAATGGTTCTGTAGTCTGAAAACAACTTGTTTGGAGGGGGCAGAGCTGAGGGGTGTAGGGAGGTCAAGGCCATTTTCAGTTCTGAGTGTAGTTATTTTGAGCAAAGTCAGCTCTGGCTTGTTTGCTCCACTGCATGGGGGGAAAAAAACAAAAAAGCAAAAACCCTTTCTTGCAGTTAGCATCCTGAAAAGCAGACTCTGTGAATGGTTCGTGTATATTTGCTGCGGTCTGTTGGATTCTTTATAGTAGGCATGGCATTGAACTTACTGATCTGAATTTAAAGAGTATGTTAGCGTTGGGCTTTGTTATACCTAATGTGAGCAGGAATGAATGACTTAATATTTTGAAGGTCTTTTACCTGAGGGCACTGGACCTCATTACAGATGGTTGTGAGCCACCATGTGGTTGCTGGGAATTGAACTCAGGACCTTTGGAAGAGTAGGCAATGCTCTTAACCTCTGAGCCATCTCTCCAGCCCATGGATTAACTTCTGTACATAGTCAGCTCTAGCTGGCTGCTACATTCTGTTTTGATTATAAGCTTCTAAACTGTATTTTGCCCAAATCAAGTGAATCTGCTGCTTACAGTTACCCATTAAATCAAAATATGGTGGGTGGCTATGTCCTTTGAGCTGCGTGGCGTGTAGTATTAGACATAAAGACATGATACCTCTTTTTGTGTGACAACCCCAGTTTGCTTTTTATTTAGTATATCACAAAGCACCCAGAGTAGGACTATCTTGTCAGCTAGCAAGCTACCCACTTTAAAAGGAGAGTGAACCTCAATTATGGCTACCTTTGACTCAGCTTCCCACTGCCACTTAACCTTACCGTTAGCACAGAGACTTAAAAAGAACACGGATTTATCAGCTTGGTTGGGATTGACTTGCTTTTGTTTCTCTGGGACCACGATATTAGCTGACAGGGCTCTTAGATGCCCAGGAAAGAATCTACTTCCATACTGATGCAGTGGTTGCCAGAATCCAGATCCCTGTGATTTTAGGACCAATATCCTCGTCTCATTGGTGACTGGTGGTCATGTAAGGGCAGACTAATGCATCACATGGACTGTCATTGCTTATTTAATAAAGCCCCCAGTGATGGGTATTTGGATCTTAAGCATTTATTACACATATGTATCACTCTGTGATGAACATCTGTGTCCAGATCACTCACTGATTATTTCAATTGGATAAATTTCTGGAAGTGTAATTACAGTATTAAAGTCTCTGTATGTGTTTGATGCTTCTGATCTATATTGCCAAATTGCCGCCTAGCAATTAACTAAAATTTCCCACAAAATCATCAGTGTCTCTCTTCCTTTTTTTTTTTTTTCAGAGAAATTGAATACTTTGAGATACTATGAATCACACTGGAAAAAAAAAAATCAAACCATGTTAGGTTCTTGCCCTATGAGTAGAACACGAATTTTTCTTTTTGAAAAACAACTTTCATATTTTGTCATTTCAGTTTTAGAACAATTTTAGGGTTGTTCCCATGGGATAGAAATAGTTGTATTGATTGCACATTTCATTGTAGTTCCAGCACTTGAGAGGCAGAGAGGCAGAAGGATCACTGTGAGTTTGTGGCCAATCCATTCTATCACAGGTTCTAGGCCAGCTAGGCTAGATAACAAAAACCAAACCAAACCAAAAGAGAAAAAATGATTAAACAGAGAATTTGAGGGACTGGAAATATAGCTCAGATGGGAGAGTGCTTGTCTAGCATGCACAAAGCTACCCCTAGCTTTGTAAGCATAAAACTGAGCATGGTGACCACACCTGCAGGCAGATCAGATGTTCAAGGTCATCTTTAGCTGCGTAGCCAGTTTGAGGCTAGCCTGGGGTACGTGAGACCCTGTCTTAACAAAATGGGCTAGAATGCTGACTCAGAGGTTAGGAAACTGCATTCATGAGGACTGGAGTTCGCATCCTCGCTCATGTGTGATAAACCTGGCACCTTCCAAACTCTGAGATGGAATATCCTCTTCTGACCATTTTGTCTAAGCACCTACCCACAGCTCTGCTCATGCACGCACTTGTGTGTTTGCGTGCACACACAGTAAGATAGAATAAATTTTTTAAAGAAATAATTTGTTTAACTTTATTTTATGTGCATTGGTGTGAGGGTGTCAGATCTCCTGGAACTGGAGTTACAGACAGTTGTGAGCTGCCATGTAGGTGCTGGGAATTGATCTCAGGTCCTCTGGATGAGCAGCCAGTGCTCTTAACCACTGAGCCATCTCTCCAGCCCTGATAAAATAAATCTTTAAGATACAAAACCAAAAGGATTTTAGGTATCATCAGTTTTGAAGCAGAAAACTGAAGACACAGCAGTGTTGCCAGAGAGGGCATAGAGCTAAGGAAAGTCAGCTTGATGTAGTCAGGATAATTCCTGATGACAGCCTGGGTGTTTAAAATATTCATTGTGGGTAGTTGTATTATTTTGCACATGTTGAGGAGAAGCCCTGTTCTCTAATGTTAAAACATGCTTAGGCTGTAATGTCTGTTCTCTAATGTTAAAACATGCTTAGGCTATCATGTATTTGTTTTTGTCTTTAAAGGGAAAAAGCCTTCATCATCCTCAGAGCGACCATTTCCAGAATGATGGCATTGGTGAGTAGAAGCTTTTTTTTTTTTTAAACAAAATTTGCTACAGTAAAGAGCTTTCTGTCTTTCTGTCTATCAATCTTTTCCTTCCTCTCCCCTTCCCTTTACCCCCACTTCCACCTCCATCTCTCAGGTATATACAAATACTAACTTTGTAGTCTTAGTGACTTTGTGACATGTTAATTTCTGAAAAGTGATCAAAGTATAGCTACTGACACTCATAGCCTTTTATACAATGTAAATCTTTGCGAGGTATTTCTATCCTATAAATGTCATACCATACACATTTCATGGTAGTTTATTAGGACGACTTTGAATACCATGTGGTACTCGGGGAGCCTTCACTCCATATGTTACTGCTGCAACCAAGTCAGAACTTGGTTCTGAGCAGCTGCCTGCTCCTAGCCTCGAGGCTGCTGCTGCGAGTTGTGCTCTCATATTTCTCTGTCTTGAATGCTCACCTCCAGCTTCTCATAAGTTAGCACTGCGGGTTATGGAAAGTACCCTCCGCACAGCTGTGGCTGATGTTTGAGAGCACCGTGGAGCGCTTGTTTCCTAATGTGGTTTATTCTGCATACTTGTTCTTTGGTGGAGGCATTTCATGGTTCACCTGGGAAATGTGTTTTTTGTTGGATGATTAGAGCATTTCTGTCAATGTGAACATCTATTGAGTCTCCTTTTTTTTGGTTTGTTTTACAGTTCAACCCAATCCTTCTGTACTTATTGGCAATCCTATTAGAGCATATACTCCTCCACCCCCTCTTGGACCTCACCCAAGTTTGGGAAAATCTCCAAGCCCCGTTCAAAGAATAGATCCTCACACTGGGACAAGTATTCTTTATGTACCTGCTGTCTATGGAGGGAATGTAGTCATGTCGGTGCCTTTGCCTGTAAGTGCATGCTTTAAGTATTTTCTTCTGGATCAAGTGGTGGCAATCTCAGTGAGTGTCTTGCCAACTTTTGTTTTTCAGTGCTGGGCATCAAGCCAAGGGTCTCTCGCATGCTCAGCAATCACTCCTGAGCCACACCCATACCAATACACACTTTTATTTACTTTTAACGTTCCAGTATCCATAAGCTTCTTTTAAAGCAACTTGTGTTTAACTACTAAGTTTTGAAATGACCAAAGAAATGTCTAACTTATATGTAACTTGTTGGTTTATCGTAGGATATGAAGAAGTCTATGAGTCATGTGTTTTGATTCAGAAGCCTTCTAAAATTTTTTTTTTGTCTCTTAAGGAGAATTGTATAAGTGATGATTTTATTTATTTACTTACTTGTTTTTAGTTTTTCAAGATAGGTTTTCTCTGTAGCTTTGGAGCCTGTCCTGGAACTAGCTCTGTAGATCAGGCTGGCCTCCAACTCACAGAGATCCGCCTGCCTCTGTCTACCAAGTACTGGAATTAAAGGCGTGTGTCACCACCGCCCGGCCATGATGTTTTTATGTGTCTTTTTCTCAGTCATGAACTGATCCTAAACAGTGGAATTATTGAAGGAGACAGAAGAGATCTTTAGTCAAGTTTGGGTCTAAATTTGTCACGCTTTATGTAACATTAGTGCCATTCAGGAACACTACTGAATTCTAAGAAGAGATTTTTAGAGGACTTCCATCTTATATATAAACACATTTTTATTTCCTTTTTGAAATGTTGGGTGCTTTTTGTTCAACTTGTAGAAACATAGATATTTCTAAATTTAGAAGTTTTTGCCTAGGAAACAATTGATTTAAGTGAGGTAATTTCAGGCAGAGATGATCTTTCAGAGAGCGCTGGCCTTCCTGCCTGTGTTCTTGAAGAGGAAACTGCTGTGCTGCACGCATTCTCACTCTTGTTGGCCATGGTAGGCCACAGGCATGGCAGCCAAGCAGAGTGACATGATACCTGGTCTGCTTGAAATAGTCTCTCTGTTAGGATTTCCATTTCATGTTCCTAGGTCAGAGAAGCTTTTAGTGTAGAGGATTTCTTGAGAGTCTGAGCCAAGCAATTATAACAATGATGAGAGCAGTTGTCATTGCCATCCCATCTGTGTTACCCTGGAGAGATCACGTGTGTATAGGCAAGCTTTCTGCCTCTGTGAAGGTGATCTAAGGTAGAGTTGACTCAATCAAAAGCACTAATTAAAATAATGACCCGTTTGAATTTTGCCTGCTGTGAATGAGCATTAAATAAATGACTGTTACTCATGAAAGGTTAGAATACCTACTCTTTGTGTCAAGAAGTCTTAGCCTCTGTTCTTTGATCCAGTCTATTAAACTACGTAACCATGCAGTTTTCACTTGAAAATAATCATTTTTATGGTAATCTGTGTGTACATCCATATGGAGGGGAAACGATTCAGAAGTATAAATTGCTTTGACATATTAGGGAATAAGCATCAGTTTCAAGTCCTCATTTCCTTCTAGCCTCCAGTGATCCATTTTTCCTAACATCCTGAAGATTTAGAGAACCAGGTTTTTGGGTACTAGGGATTTAGTAGTGATTCTACCTATTGTTACTGTTGACTGATATCAACATGGTAGTTGAGTAAAATGTTGTCTCTCTATGTATCTGTTTGTATTTTGCTAATCAACAACATTATATCAGTTTGTGTTGAGAAATATACTCAGTTTGAGTAATTTATTTCTTATAATAATTTAGGTACCATGGACAGGATACCAGGGTAGGTTTGCAGTTGATCCTCGGATTATTACACACCCAGCAGCGATGGCCTACAATATGAACCTGTTACATACGCATGGACGTGGGTCACCGATCCCTTATGGCCTTGGACATCACCCACCTGTCAACATAGGGCAGCCGCAGAATCAGCATGTAGAGAAGGATCAACAAGAGCAAAGTCGAAACGGTGGGTGGAATCCCATTAGAAGTCTTGTGTCAACTCTCATAGTGGGTCCTTGAGTTAGCTTTCTGTGTCCTGTGCGATAAGGACTGATCATTGGGGTGGTTTCCTTTGTTTGGCATATCTGTGGTTGTTTGCTCCAGGATCATCTATAGATACCCTCCTGTCACTGGGCTACTTTGAAGCTCATGCTAAAATCAGCTCCCCATACTTGGGCTCTTCTTTTTCATTGGTGTACATTTTCGTCCATGCTAGACATGCCGGCCTGAGTACCTCAGCTTTGTACACGCTGCTTAGGAAAACAGGTATCTAGGTGCTCCCACTTCATTCTGTTCCAAAATGGTCTCATGTAGGCTTTTCTTGCATTTCCATAAACAGTTCAGAATCAGCTTGCCTTTTTTTGTTTTTAATGATTTATTTAACTTTATGTGCATTGGTGTAATATGAACTGTCATGTGGGTGCTGGGAATTGAATCTGGGTCCTCCAGTTGAGCAGCCAGTGTTCTTAACTGCTGAGCCATCTCTCCAGCCCCCTCAGCTTGTCTTTTAAAAAGCAAACAAAGAACCTGAAAGCTAGCTAGGCTTTTAATTTGGATTACATTAAGTCTTTGGGTCACTTTTGGAATAATTGGGAGCTTAACAATGTTAAGTCTCTGGTCTATGGACAGAGTATATGTATACCTATATTTTTAGGTCTTAACTTCTTTCAACATTTTCTTAGGTAGAAGCTTGATTAAAATGACTATTTAGTATAATGTCTTCCTTATTAGTACATTCCACAGATTCTGATATGTTGTTTTTGCATTTTTGTTTAATTCAATATACTTTAAAAATACTTTTTAATTTCTCTTAAAATATTTTAAGATTCATGGGCTGGGGGTATGGTGCTTACCTATCACATCAGCATTGGGAAGAATGAGGCAAGAAGATTATGAAATCCAAGCTAACCTGAGCTATAGAGTAGTGAGAGTCTGTTTCAGAAATAAAACCAAAAAGATTATAGCCATGCATTATTTAAAATGGTGAGTTTCAGTTTCTGGTTATTAATGATTTTTTTTAAAGATTTATTTATTATGTATACAACTTTCTGCCTCCATTTATACCCACACACCAGAGGAGGGCGCCAGATCTCTTTACAGATGGTTTGGAGCCACCATGTGGTTGCTGGGAATTGAACTCAGGACCTTTGGAAGAGCAGACAGTGCTCTTAACCACTGAGCAATCTCTCCAGCCCTAAAATGCTTTCTGTTACTGGTTCTTACTTTTAATTCCATCATGGTAAAAGAGCATATTTTGTATTGCATGAATTCTGTTGAATTCACTGAGATTTTTTCTTTATCAGTGCTCCATGTGTGCCTTGAAGCCCCAGGATGCTCAGGGTATGCTGGTCAGGAGTGCTGCCTGTGTCCTTGCTGGCTTTCTGCCTGTCTTTTCCGTCACTCTCTGAAGAGAGAAATTAGTCTCCGAAGACAATTTATTTGTCTATCTTTTGTATTTTTCTTATTTTTTGAGACCAAGTCTCAGCTAGGATGGCTTTTGATTGCTTATGCAGCTTGGGGGTGACCTTGAACTCCTAATGTTTCTGCCTAATGTTTCCCCTAAGAGCTGGGATGACAGGTTTATCTCCTATGCCATGCTTGTCTAGGTTTTCTTTATATTCTGTCATTTCTCAGTAAATTCTAGGGTCTGTTACTAGGAGATAAACATTCAAGAGTGTGTTCTCTGGTGACTCACTAGTGTCACAGCATGACTGTTCTTGGTGATGTTCTTGGCTCTGAGGTCTACTTTGGTCAATGTCTGTGCAGCTCTTGGGCTTTCTTTTGACTAAAGAGAGCAGTGCACATTGTTTTCGGTCTTTTGCTTTTAATCTGTTTGTATCTTTAAGGCACATTTCTGAGGTTGGGGCTGCAGTGCAGTGGTTGGTGCATATTTCGTTTACATTTACCTGCAGCCCCACCTGAAAGGAGCAGCAAAGCGTGCTGCTCTTAGGTAGTTCACAGTTAGTCCTCTTCTCTCTGCCCTGCCGGGCCTGGCCTCAGACTCAGAAACCTGCCTGCCTCTTCCTCCTGAGTGCTGGGTTGAAAGGTTTAAGCCTCCACACTGAAATGGATTTCTTTTTAATCTTGGGTTCTGTGAGCTTGATGTTTGTAGGGTATACTTATAATTCCATTTGATAGCTTTTGTTGCCTTATTAGTTATGGTGTAGTTAATAGTGTTTTAGTTGCAGTGGGGCTAAGTATCTTTTATCTCTGAAGCATACCTCTCTACTTAAATTCCACACCTCATGCACAGTAAAAGGACTGATGGAAGTTCAGAACCTCCTCTCTGGGCATGATGGCTTTGTACTTCACTCACTCACTTTCTTTTCCCTCCCTCCCTCCCTCCCTCCCTCCCTCCCTCCCTCCCCCCCCCCCCCCCCCCCCCCCCCCCCCCCCCCCCCCCCCTCTGAGACAGGGTTTCTCTGTATCACTCTGGCTTGGAACTTGCTCTGTAGACCAAGTTAGGTTCAAACTCATGAAGATCCACTCCTGAGTGCTGGGATTAAAGGTGCACACCACCATGGCCCGGCACATGTTACTTTTATGTAGGTTTACTTGAAAATATTTCTGGTGGTTTTTGTTTAAACAGGCAAGTGTCATTTTAAACAGTTTTAAAAAGTAAGAGAGTTAAGGTGGCTTAGGGTGCAGCTCAGTGCTTGCCTGGCAGTCTCAAGGTCCTGGCTTTGATCCTAGCACAGAAGGGAGTGTGTGTGGGCCATCATTAGCCTTATTTTTTGCATATATGTAAGGTACTGTGCTTTCTCTCCAATCTAAAGTTTTTTTTATTTCATGCTGGTCTTAGTAGTTTCATTATAATATACCTTTGGGAAGGTTTTCGTTTGCTTTTTTGGTGTGTGCGTATTCTGGGTCTTTTTATATAGTTCTTACAATGTTTGGAGAGTTTCAAACTTGATGACAGCAGATATTTTTTCTGATTCCCTGTCCTCTTCTCTTGTGGTCCCATTTGCCCATGCATTCAGATACTTAATGTTCTTCAAAGCTCATGACTATACCTGTATTGGTTCCTTTCAGGATTTTTTGGTTTTGGTAGTTTCTGCTGCTGTATTATTTAGCTTGCTTCGTTTTTCTTATGTACTGTCTAGTCTTCTGGCCGTCCACTGGTGTTTAGCCTTGATATTACAGTTCTCCTGTCTCCTTGTGCAGTGGTTAGTCAGTGTTGATAGGACAGTTCATTTTCAGAGTTCTAGTGCTGTTGCTAGGGCATTTCTCGAAAAATATCCAACTTGGGCTGAATTCTTTCTGAAAAAAGTGCTTCACACTTGTGAAGATAGGCCTCTCTACTCTAAGGTATTGGAAAGCCTTACTTTGCTTCCTCTGCAATCCCTCACTTACTTCTGCTCAAAATCTTTGCACTAGAACTCCTGTCGCTGTGACAGAACAGCTGGAGCTAACAACGTATAGTAAAGATGTGTTTTGGTTCCAGTTTTGATGGATTCAGTCCACTCTTGCTTTGTCCCATTGCTGTGGGCCTGTGTGATAGAGGAGTTGTGTTCGGTTCATGGGAATAGGAAAACAGAAGCCAAAAAGAAAGGTTGGAGCCCCAATGCCTGCTGCTGTTCTTTACTCTCCACATCCTAAGGTTTACTTTTCCCTGTAGCACACACTGAGAACAAGCCACTTTACATGTGGGCTTTCAGGAAGCTTTTAGGTCTAAGCCTAACAGTCAACTTAAATTCCTTCAGGAAGTTGAATTGATACATCATTTAGATTTTTACTTAATTGCATTTGCAAATGAACAAAGTGTTGAGCCTTTGTAAACAGGCAGGAATACCAAGACCTTTTATGTGTCTAGTTTTTTTTTTTTTTCTTTAAAGAAAGACTGTAAATCTTGGAGAGTGGACCATTTTCTTTTTTATTTGCTGTTTTCAGGTTGTTTCTCCTTTGTGAAGCTTTTCCCTGCCATTTTTCATGTATAACTTTTTCTTTTTCACAGAAAAGCTGCAGTTCTGACAATGGAGGTCTAGCATGCACACGGTAGCGTAAGGACAGTAGAGGTCTAGCATGCACACGGTAGCATATAAGGCTATAAGAATGAATGAATAATCTTTAAACTATTCTGCTTTGTCTAGTGTTGAATAGTGACTGGAAATGTCATGTTTATTGGAGATAATTTATAAGGATTTAAAAATATTTTCTTAGGTAAAACTGATACAAGTAACCCTGGACCTGAAATTAATAAGATCCGAACACCAGAGAAAAAGCCTACAGAGCTCAAACAGGTATGCTGCTCACATCAGCTGAGTGTGTGGTTCTGGTGGGGAAGGTCTCATTGGCCCAAAGCAGCTCTGCTTCCCATGGCTCTGTTATGCTTTCTGTTTTAGAATAATTTAGTAGGGCATGTCACCTTTCTTCTGTTGTCTTTCACTGAGTTATTTTCTTTGCATGTAAATATTTCTTCAGATTTTCTCTTTAAAAAATTTAAATATTTATTCTATTTTATGTGTATAAGTGTTTTGGCTACATATATGTATGTGTCTACATGTGTGCCTGTGGAGTTTGGATGAGGCCATAGAGCTCCTGGGACTGGAGTTAGAGATGGTTGTGAGCCACTGTGTGGGTGCTAGGAATTGAGTTTGGGTCCTCTGCAAGAATAGCAAGAGCTCCTAACTGTATGAAGACAGAGCTACAGATGTCTCATTGGCAGTGACTTTAGCCTCGGTGGGACTGTGACAGTGATTCCCCTCAGTGCCTGACCTTTTCCACCACACCCACTGTGCAGATCCTTAACTTTGTGTCTGCCCACTTGTTTACTCTTCCTGCTTCTGTGCTGGCACAAATTAGAGAAGACCAAGTTATTGGTTGATGTAGTGTGGCTAGAAGCTGTGTGTTTTCATTTCAGCGAGACTTGGCCCCTTCTTTCTTATGCAGTGCTCAGCTTTGTCCTGGCTCCTCAGTGGGTTTTCTCAAGCCTGTTACCTCACGGTGCAGTGACTGCTCTAGATGCACCACTACCAAGGTTGTGCCCTGCTAATTGATGGCAACAGATAACTTGCTTTTCATGTATCCTTGAGCCTTTCTTGTCTACAGCCTTAGATGAAGTCCTCTTGAGTTTACTGTGTCCTGTCCTCATCCAGTCACCTCTCTGACTCCGAGTTATCAGCCTTCTCCGCTGTGCAGACTCTTCCCACTTCCCACCTGCCCATTCTTCCCACTCTGCTTGTCATGCCGTTACTCACATGCTAGCCTTGCGTGCGAACACTGGCTGGCGGACTTTCTAAAGACGCTTTCTCCTGAGATGTAGCACAGCGGTAGTGTGTGTCCAGCACACACGAGATCTGAGGTTAAGTGCTCAGCACCACACAACCATAGCAGAAGAGTGAGGAAAGAAAGGTGCATTTAACCTTCACCTCCTGGTGCCGTACCTTAACCCACACAGTTCAAGAGCTCTGCTCACTGTCTCAACCACAGCTCATGTTTCTTTGGTGTTTGCCATTTGGTTGTCTTACTTCTATTATTTTCTTTAACACAACATTTCTTTTCCTACAACTCCTTCTGGATTTTTTTTTTTTAAATACATTCCCTTCTCATGACCCTAGCCCTCAAGTTGTGACTTCCCAGAGTTCTATGTGGTCCCGCTTCTCTTTGAGTCTAAGGTTGGTGGCTATAAACTAGTCTGAGTGTGTCTTTAAGTGCCCACATCATAAGAAAGACTTCCAGTTTGGATCTCCAACCTCTGCCCAAGCAGCTGTTCTCTACCTCTCACAAGTGTCCCAGGAACATCTCTGACTGACAGAGGCCAGAGGTGGAGGGCGTGTCATAGGAGGAGCCATGCTGTAAGTGAGGCAGCCAGGAGACTTCCTGATTGAGTCAGAGGATGTGAAAGTAAACCTGATAATGGGTCTGAAGCAGCCTGCGTCTACCACTGTCACTCAGCTCCTTCATGTCATATGCCTCTTAATACTGAGGCACTGAATTAAACAGAGCTCAGAGTTCCTTGCATATGTTTCCTGGGCTCCGTAGCAAAGCATCAGGATGTAGAGAAACAGAAACATGGCTGCCAGGTAGCCTTCTTTTCTAACAGAAGATTTATAGCAAATTTAAAAGCAGTGACATGACTGGCACTGGCTATCTTGATTCTGATTTGGATGGCACTTGAAACTAAGCTGCCTCCCACTGTGTATGCCACTGGTGCTTCCACTGACGGGTCCTGAAGTGCCATTTATTCTCCTGCACACCCTTCTGAAACACACACAAGCTCACTTTCTCCGCAGCTCCTTCTCACTTCAGAGTCATAGAGTATTGTGGTCATGAGCTTCCTGACTGTGTCAGAGTCACGAGTGATGGAGAAATTAAAACAGCAACTGAGCCACAAACAACCATGGCATGTAACCATAGCCTTGTGTGTGTGCTCAGAGTGTGCACATCAGCAGTGTCTTTTGGAGAGAATTGTGTCCCTAGCTAATGTAACTTCACCATCCTCAAGAGTATGAGTTGTATGAGGAAATATTTTTTTATGAGGAACCTCGGTTAGGTTCTGAGATGTGGACAAGAGGCACAGCAACTGCTTAGGAAGACCAGAACACTTGGTTTTCGGATCACTTACACACCTAGCAATCCCAAGGACCCAGAGCCAAGTGGTGAGAGATGTGATGGCTCTCGGTGTACGATTGGCATTGCAGTGGCCTGGTCAGTACTCCTAGTGCAAAGTAGGAACCAGGCTACTCGGTCTGTTTTCTTGGGGAGTGATCGGCACCCTGTGTAGTGTATAGACTTTGACTAAACAAGCACCCTGCAGTTCTCACTGACCATTTCAGCACTGAAACTTGCAAGGTAACACAGAACAGTTTGTGGAGTGGTTTAACAGCTGGGAAAGAGAAGGTGTCATTTTACAACATTACATATCGTTTTTGTTTCCACATTGTCAACACTTACAGCAAACCTACATTTCAAGACAAGCATGCTTTTTAATTTCAAACCCTTTTCCCGGTGGTTCTCCAAAGCTCAATGGCATCAAACTTGATGTTTGCGCTCAGTATTGAGTCAGCCAGGGTCTGTGTGATTGATGTCAAGAAGGGGAAGCTAACATGTAAAGAAGAAAGTTCTAGCTCTATGAACAGAAAATATGTATCCCACATCTGCTGTGCTGTTTCCCCTCTGTTTGTTAGAATGTTCTTCTCTCCCTGGAGCCTGCTTTTCTGAAGGCTTCTTTACTTTTCTTAGCCCTCATGTGACCCCTCTTTCCAATGTCTCGTGTGTTTACACAGAGCCTCTGCTGGGCTCTAGACTAGTGATTGGCAGGCTGTTTTTGCAAAGGGTTAGACATAAATCTCAGGCTTCATGTTCACACAGTGTGTGTTGCAGCTGTTCAGCTCTGCCACTGCAGTGCGAAAGGAGCCATGGATAACATGTAAATGATTGACCTTCTATGTTCTGAGAAGACCCGATTTACACAGGTTCAGGGCACTGGAGCTAGAGTGGCTGGGCCGAGGGTAGCTTCTGCTCTAAGCTCTTGAGGGTATATACTGAATCTTACTGTTGCTTTTTAATTTTCAGACTCAGACACGGTGCACTTAGTAGGCCCTCTACGAGTGTTAAGAGAAAGAATGTCAGACTATGTAGTGGACATAAGTCAGCAACCATACCCGTGACATGGCATCTGTCTGTTTATTTGGAAGTTGCCAGAGACACAGTTTTTATTAATGTTGATTTGTTTGGAGAAGTAGATTGGATATATAAAAACAATAAAATCAGAGGGAGAGAGCACATTTTGTTGATTTATATCAGAAGGAAATTAACGGTTCTCTTTCTAAGGAAGAAAGTGTGAAATTGAAAATAGTATAGTAGGAATTAGAGTGGCCATTCTAATAAAATGGCAGCGGCTTTCCTTCAGACTCAAATTTAATATGCTGTTTCCTCTGTCATCTTTTTTAATTTATAAGAATATTCTCTTTGATTGTCAAAGGTGATTGATTCTGCACGTCAGGCCTCCCACTGCTACTGATAAGAGCATATTATAGCCTTTAAGTGGGGTATGCTTGGGAAAGGATGAAAAGTCACCCAACTCGGTTTTTTGCAGTTAAAAATGTTTCTTGTTTTTTTCTTTTTCTCCTCTAGGTTGATTTGGAATCAAATCCACAGAACAGAAGCCCTGAATCTCGTCCCAGCGTTGTTTATTCCAATACCAAATTTCCTCGAAAAGATAATCTCAACCCAAGACACATAAATCTTCCTCTTCCTGCACCACACACACAGTATGCAATCCCTACCCGCCATTTTCATCCACTTCCTCAGCTACCCAGACCACCATTTCCTATTCCTCAGCAGCATACCTTGTTAAATCAGCAACAGAATAATTTGCCTGACCAGCCAAATCAGGTGGCACCCCAGCCAAATCAGGTGGCACCCCAGCCAAATCAGGTGGCACCTCAGCCAAATCAGGTGGTCCAGCAGCAAAGCCAGGCACCTCCACAGGCCCCGCAGCCACCTCCTCAACTCTCTCCTGCATTTCAGGCGGGGCCCACCAATGCATTTTTCAATAATGTAGTTGCTCACCGACCACAGTCTCCTCCAGCTGCAGAGGCTGTGGTTCCCGAGCAGCAGACATCTCCCGTGCTTCCTGACGGTCACAGTCCACTGAGAGCCATCACACAGCCTGGTCCCATCCTAGCGTCACCTCTGAACAACTTTGTTGATGAGAACTCCCCAGGATTGCCTATAGGAGAAGCTTTGGGTAAGCTTGCCTGTCATAATGTCACATGTGAAAAGAGTCCCCAGGTTATTTGCTGAACATGGTGTGTCCTGTATAGTATTAACTCTAGGTCAAGATTGATTCATGTCTCCAAATAATTCCAGAAAACCCAGCCAATTGGTATTATAAAATTTGGCTTCAAGTATTATATGTACATAGGTGTATACTAAGTATCCAGGTGACATCATTTGCACCATCATGAAGGAGAGAGAGTCAACACCATAGCTCTGGGCTCTGGCAAATTTAGGATATTACTTTTACCCAATGGAATTATAGCTATTTCTTTGCCTTTGTGGAGAAAAATCTGGGTGTAAAGGTCTTTGTACAAAATTTACTTGGAGCCCCAAATGGACTAAACCAGCTTTTCCCACCTGCCTCTTTCTGCAGATCGAGTACATGGAAGTGTAGCTCTGGAGACACTGAGGCAGCAGCAGGCGCGGCTACAGCAGTGGAGTGAGCACCATGCCTATCTCAGCCAGGGCAGCATTCCGTATCCACACCATCCCCATCCTCACCTCCCGCATCTTCCCCAGCCACCCATTGGCCTCCACCAGCCACCAGTGAGGGCAGAGTGGAAACTGGCCAGCAGAGTTGACGATGAAGTGGAGACAACGTTCTCGAGGTACTCCAGCAGCCCAGGGCCAGCCCTGAACGGGACCCGAGTTTTCTGCCCTTTAGTTTTCAATTGGAACACGGTCTCAAATAAATCCACTGTTGGCCTTGTTGGTGGATACTACAAAGTTCTCTCCATTGACTCTACAATATGGAGAATTAGACATCACTCTTGTACAAATCTGGGCCTAGTGATCTATGACTTTAGCTCCTTGACTTATGGTCTGTTATCAAAAGAAACAAACCATTCCTGGGACTGTGTATCTTGTTTGTTTGCCTACTTAGTAAATAAAAGAATAATGAGGACAGAAGTAAATTTGTGGCTAAAACTTAAAGATTGCAAGTTTATGATTAACTTTTTATCAGACTTCCTGGAGCTTCGGCACTCTGAGGATTCAGCGTATTTGTGGTCAGCATCATATGGCTGCTGTGTGCTGCCTCCTCATCCTCTCTGGAAAACCCTGTTATTGTGGCCCTTAAAGCTTCTTTCTTCTTATTTTTTTTTAGCATTTATTTCTATTTTTAAAATATACAACTTTTTTTAATTAATTGATTTTGATTTTTTTTGTTTCATGTGTATGAGTATTTTGCCTGTATGTATAGTGTGTGTACCGTGTGCATGCCTGGTGCCTAAGGAAGCCAGAGAGGGCCTTGAATCCTAGAACTGGAGGTACCGGTGGCTGTGAGCTACCACATGGATGCTGAGACCTGAACCTGGGTCCTCTATAAGAACACAAGTGTTCTTAACTGGTGGGCTGTCTCTTCAGCCTCTTAGTTATTTATTTTTATTGCCGGATGTATGGGTGTGTATGTGTGTGTACAGGAATGTGTGTATGTGTGTGTATAGGAGTGTGTGTGGGTGCGTACAGGAGTGTGTGTATGTGTGTGTACAGGAGTGTGTGTATGTGTGTGTACAGGAGTGTATGTGTATGTGTATGTACAGGAGTGTGTGTATGTGTGCGTACAGGAGTGTGTACATGTGTGTGTACAGGAGTGTATATGTGTGTGTACAGGAGGGTGTGTATGTGTATGTACAGGAGTGTGTGTATGTGTGTGTACAGGAGTGTGTGTATATGTGTGTACAGGAGTGTGTGTATATGTGTGTACAGGAGTGTGTGTATATGTGTGTACAGGAGTATGTGTATGGGTGTGTACATTTGTGTTTGTATGAATATGGGGGCCAGAGGGCAGCCTATGGGGAGTTGGTTCTTCTATCATATGTCTTCCAGGGATTAGCTTGGACTGTCAGCTAATTGGTGGCCAGCATCTATACCTGCTGAGCTATCTCCCTGGCCTGTGGTAGCATTCTATCACTTCCAGTTTTCATGTTGAGGCAAAGGTAAAAAACAGGATTGACATCTTTATTGAGCATTTCCAGTTTAGTATCTGCTGAGTATCAGTACTTAGTTTGGGATTAATGGCATCCCTAGTTAGATATTGTGATTTGGTATGAAATCACACATGGCTGACTCTGCTCTTCTTAATGCAATGGCGTTTCTCCCTCATATTTTCTTGTTTTCGTGTAGGTTTCAGGACTTACTCAGAGAGCTGTCTCATCGTGATCAAGGTGACACTCGAGAGCTAGCTGAAATGCCACCGCCTCAATCAAGACTTTTGCAATACAGACAAGTTCAGACTAGAAGCCCACCAGCAGTCCCGTCTCCCCCTTCCAGCACAGACCGCAGTAGCCACTTTTCTAACTGTAACGACAACAGCAGAGACATTGAAGTAGCCAACAGCCCAGCATTCCCACAACGCCTCCCACCTCAGCTCTTCAGCTCCCCCTTTTCACTGCCATCTGAACACCTTGCTCCACCTCCCCTGAAATACCTGGCTCCTGAAGGAGCATGGAATTTTGCTAACTTGCAACAGAATCACTTAATAGGGCCGGGCTTTCCCTATGGCCTACCTCCATTGCCTCCCAGGCCACCACAGAACCCTTTTATACACATACAGAACCATCAACACGCTATTGGTCAAGAGCCATTTCACCCACTGTCATCTCGCACAGTATCTTCTTCTTCGCTCCCCAGCCTAGAAGAGGTAAATGCCTTTCAGTGGTCTTCTGTTTGGGATCAGCGGGCAGTGAACAAACACTGCTGCTATCTACCTATTGGATGAAAGGAGATCTTCTCAGATAGGATATCTTTAAACAATAACCTTTTCTTGGAAAAAAATTAATGTTTATCTTTTTGTGCTGGTTCATATTTTGTGTGGTACTGTTGAAACATAAAGCCTCTTGAAAGTAGTTTAAATTGCTTTTCCGCACGTCTGACCTCTGAGAACACTAATATCTGAATTGTGTTCGCCTTTCCACTCTGGGGACATGGACCTTAGTGGCTTATCTTTTCATTAGGTTTATTTTGGTGACTAGTACTTGCTAAAGATGCCAGTTTTTCTAGTGAGTGGTCATTTCCAAGCACCAGTTCTCCCTCCTGCCATCCTGAGGTTTTAGTGGGATGTTATTCATGAAGCAGTGGGTACCCAGTCAGAGCAGTTTCCAAACATCACAGCATCTTGCCAGTTAGCCTAAGCCTGGCTGCTGAGTAAGCATCTGGAGATAAACTCGGCTTTCACGGCAGGACTCTTGCATCGAGGTCAGCAGCAGTCGATGGCATGAAGCCTGTAGTGATTCCAGGGGAAAGACTTTCAAAATGGGGTTGGAGAGATGGCTCAGCAGTTAAGTATTCTAGGTGCTCCTCTTCCAGAGGCCCCTGGATCCAGTTCCCAACACCCACATGGTGACTCAATTGTAACTCCAGTTCCATGGAATCAGATGCTTCTTTTGGATTCTGTGGCCACATGTAGGCAAAACGTGTACATACAAAAACAAAAGCATAACAAATTTCCAAAATTGTATAATGTGTAGCTTATCATTGTCTAGCTCTTCCCAGTGAGCTCACAGTGACTAAGGAGAAAACTCTGTAAAGGGAGTGACTGTGAGTTATCATATCTTTTTAAAACAGCATAAATGGAGTTTTGTTTGTTTGAGATAAAGTCTTAGTACGTAGCTCAGGCTGGTCTTGCCCTCTTATGCACTTAGATTACAGGCATGTACCGCCATACCTGGTGTGCAGTTGTGAAACACGATTAAAACGTCTTTCTTTGAGACAGGGTCTCACTGCAACCTCAAGCCATCCTTGAGCCAATATCATCCTACTTTGTGTCTGGGATTGTAGGCGTGAAGTACCACACCTAGATAACACAGATCTTTGGATGTAGTCTTCCTGAGTCGTGAGACCTCAAAGCAAATTATAGTTGTGTGAGTATGATGAGGCCTGTTCTGCTTCCCCTGGCACCTGGGCAGGGCTTATTTCCAGGGCTGCCACAGAGCTGAAGAACACCTTTGCAAGACCACAGAACTGATGATTTTATAAACTGCTGAGGCTTTCTTGACTGGATGTTCTCGTGGAAACTGCTAGTTTTTAGTTTCCTAGCCCAAAGAGTTGTTTGCCGCATTTGACAGTATTGTTGTCATCTCTATGGAAGAGAAGACTTTGGCACCAGGGTGTGCTGCTGGCACAGTTGGTGGGGACTGTGTCCCTCTTCTCACAAGGCTTCACTGTTTATACTTTGATTAGTAACACTTCCTACTGAATCACCTACTTGAATCACTGATCTTTTTAAGTGGTCCTTGATTTTGGAATTTAAGTTCTTTGTACACTGTCGCTTTCAGTGTTTGGTATTTTTGTGTCACTGCAAGTGTTATAAATACGTGCCTCCAGTTGTCAGTGAGTTCTTTTGCTTTGCAAAAACACTTGGTCATCTTGCTTCTGACACTAGGTTCGTGAGTGATGACTAACTTGCAGCAATTGAAGAAATTCTTTGACAAGGAAAATATTATTTTTACCACATTGTAGATTTTGACATTTTCAACGCATTAGGGTAAGTTCTGTGCGTTCAGAATTACTTTGCATGAATCATCTCACACAGTGAATGGCATATGTTTTCACTGTTTGTTTCCAACCTTTTAAAATGATTTCTTTAACAATACAAAGAAAGTTACTTTCTTCCCCACTGTGGATTCTTTTATTGCCAGAAACGTGGCAGAGTCATCTGATGGGATGAAAACACTCACGGGTTAGTCTAACAGTTACTTTGAATGGAGAGAATTTTTTCCTTCAAATTTTGTTTGACTAGGTTTTTGGTTTTATATTTACCTTTTAGACCAGATTTTGCTATGTAGTTCAAGCTGGCCTTAAACTGTGGTCATCCTGCTGCCTCCGCCTCCTTAGTGCTGAGATTACAAGCATGTACCACAAATACTCAGCTATAATTTTTATTTTCTTTGGAAAAATGAAATGCATGGCCAATATAAAACATACAGAAGCCAGAAAAACACCTAATTTCACTAAATAAAAATAGCTACCATAGCATTATATTTGGCTTTTCCTGGTGGCCTTAGATTAGAATATGTGGTGGGTTAACCTAGGGGAATTGAGTGACTGCCATGGAAACTGGAAACTGCTGTGCCCCCCATCGTATTGTGCCTTCCACTACCCCATCCAGTCGCCTTTCCCCAAGGTCAGGGCACTCTGAATGGGACCCTGTCTTTACAGCCCTTTGCAGTTCTGAGAGTAATTCTCATTGCATAACTAAGACTGAACTTCACTGGTTTTCCTTCTTTACTCCAAATTCAGTGGAAGCTGTGGGTGGCCTTTGGCTCTGTAGATGAGGCTGGGCCACACAAGGGGCTGTCTTTTCCAGGGGCAGGCCCTGACCATTCTTAGCTGGCAATAGATGAATGAATTCCACCAATTTGACTTCAAATACTAGTGCATGTTTGAGATCATGGTTTAATTTCCCTCCAGATATTTAGCTAAGTGTCTTCATACTGTCACTAGCTGTGGTATTATCACTAACTAGAAGTAGCTTCCCTGTTAAATGACAGATTCTTTATATAGCATTGTATTCTGCTCCAGTGTCAGCTGGCAACAGAATGCAATCAACAGAAATCCATTCTTAGCTTTGGGGCCTCTGAGGACTCTATTTCTGGTGATTTTGGCTCGATTAAGAGTTTTTCAAGACTGAGAGATGACTCAGTAATTAAGAGCATTTACTGTTCTTGCAAAGGACCAGGGTTTGGTTCCCAGCACCCACACTGTTGTTCACAACGGCCTGTATCTCCAGCTCCTGGGGATCTGATATTCTCCTCTGGCCTCTGCAGGCTCATGTATGCTCGTGGTTCACATTTATTCATGTAGACTTGCACACATACACAAAACTTAAAAAAATTTGAAGGCTGAATTTGTGTGAAAATGCTCATTTTGCATGGTAACTGTATGACCTCAAACCTGAGAAGCAAGCCATTCTTCAGTGTGTTCTGTATTGAAATCACTTTCTGATCATTTTCTCCTCCAGCTCCTCTGTTCTGTTCCAGATGATGCTCCTAACTTAAATGAGGTTCAGTGTTATGAACTAACATGCAGTCTTAAGGGGTAGAGTGAAGCCCATGTGCTGTCTTGTTTGTCGTCTTTCTCTAGGAAGGAGGCCACTCTGTGGTTTTCCTACTAGTAGAAGTTGAAAATGGCTTTGTCATCTCTTTCTCTTCCTTACATACCTTTAAAACCCCCTTTAGATTTCTATTTGAATTATACTAAGCATAGAGCTTAAATTAAAGGGATTTTATCCCTGGAGATTTTTCCAGTTTCCTCTTAGGAAATGGTATTCTCTCTACTCACTCCCCTAAGATTTTGTGTGTTTCTCTTTAAAAATTCTGTAGTGTCTTCATTTCTGGTTCCCGTGGGATAAGGTTGTTCTGTTTTATGCTCTGTTCAGTGTTGTGAATGCAAGCTTCTTGCATCAACGCTTTCAGGCATTCCATCTTAAAAGATAGCTCCTCATTCTCCTTAAGTGGCTGTAGATTTGTCAAGATAAAAACTTCCATTTAGCACGGAGTTTGTGGTGCTGAGGCTGGCACAAGGCACAGCTCCCATATCAGATGTGCTTTACTCGGAAATAGTCCGATTAAAGAAATAAATGGAGAAAATGAAAGATTCTTTTCAAATTGTCACTGTTCCAATCAGAATCGGTTTCTGAAATTGCACATTTTTGTCTGCAGTGATGATGTTATCATAAAAGCCTCATTAGAGATTGGGTCCCGGCTGGGGGTGTGACTGGTGGTTGAGCTCTTGCTTAGCATGCAGAAGACTAAGGGCCGGGTTCTCTGGTTGGGGGAGTGAGGCTGTGGCGAAGCGGGCAATGCTCCTGGGCTGCTGCTCATTCTGATCAGCTCTGTCAGTCAGCATTAGAGATGGCCTCTGCCTCTGCAGTGGCTCTGCCTTGGAATATTTCTTGTCCTAGCTTTTGAACAATTTCCTTACTTTCATTTTTCTCTCTACCACCTGTATTTTTTGCATTATTTAGTTTGGATTTCACTACGTTCTCCAGCCATCCTTGTCCCTTAGAGCCAAATATTATAATGGAGGAGTCTCATATTGACAAAGCGTTGATAGGTTTCACCTCTTCTCATTGATAGCTTGTGATTTGTGTTGTGTAACCAACTGGAAACACTGCTGTCGTTTTGGCTGAGTAAATAATGTGTATAGCAAACCTCCTAATCTAAGTATTAGTGATCAACGATTGATAAGATAGACCTCCATTCATTGCCTGAGCATCAAAGCTAATCACTGAGATGAGATGTTGGGCTTTAATTAAAGCTCCTGGCACTGTAGGTAATGTGACCTGGAATTCCCACTAGAGCACTTAGCTTTTCCTTGGTGATTAGCTTTGGAAGCATAATTATGAATATAGGACTTTAATTAATATGCTAACCTTTCCCCCAGTTATTTATTTATACACATCCATATTTAAGGATTTGCTAACTTAAACATTATAGATATGTTTTAGAGTAGCAAGCAAATTAAAAATTTTATTTAAATTGACAATAGCAATTTTTTTGATTTTCGAGACTAGCAATTTTTACATAAACTTAGTAATCATTTTTTTCGAGTCCATATATTAAATTGTACTTGAAATGTTAGCATTACATTCTGATATTTAGAAAGAAATACTAGCAGCAAAAATTAAAAATAGTGATCATA